ATCGTTATTCGATTCAAAGCGACTGGTACTGTTGAATTACAGAAGTTCAGATTAAGTATGGCTATATAAATGAACCTTGAGGGTCTCTGGCTTGGCTCTTTAGCTCAAGTAGCCATTCAGGTTAAACAAATGACATTTTCAGTATTACGACAATGATCAGTGAACTAAAAAAAGTGCAAAATAGTAGCTCAAACATTAAAAGTGCATTATAGCGGCCCTGTAAATGTGGGCCACGGTTGTTTTTTTTTATAATAACAACTGCCCACTTGCCTTTCTCAACTTTCTTTTGATTTCGTATGCAATTACATATAATAGTGATCGAAACCGAATAAACTTTATTTCGGAAATTTACCTACTTGCTTATTATTGGATTCTCCCGTAACATCTTCAAATGTTTCCGCTCATTGTCTTTTACTTTTATTAATTGTTAGATGGTTTTAATTTATAGCATTAATTTTTATATGTTTTTATAAACCAATATTTCGCAGCGCCACCTGTGTAGATAATAAATCATCTAACTGACTTGAGTGTTATTACCGTCTGGTTTTTTCATAGCATCAGTCTTCTCACAGTAAGTGTTTTCTTAGACAAAACATTCGCTTATGTTTTGTTTATTTTTATCTGTCTATACATATATTCAATGAAAGAGGGGAAAATTATATAGTGAAATTGTTTAAAATATTGTTGAATTTTATGCAATAATAGTAACGTTATACTATTGTGTTACTCGGAATAAGGGCCAGGCATGGTCTAATGATTTGTACGCCCAGGTTGTGAATCTAAGGGTTCTTGATTCGCGACCCGTTGATGCAAAAACGTGTTCCGCACTTTGGTAATGTGAGTGTGCTATGATCTCAAGTCCCTCTATGCGGTCAGACAAAAGTAATCCAAAAGTTGGCTTTGGTTTCTGTTGATTAGCTGTCTGCTCTCTATTCTTTCAGTTCCAAATGACAATTCAAAGATAATTATTTGTGTAGCTTCACACGAAAATTCTGAAATATACATATTGAGAATAATATCCGAAAGTCACTTCTGATGTAATTAGAAATCGATATACCAATTAATATCTCAAGAAAAACATGTTTATAGGTTGTATGTGAACCTATACCACAATAGTAGTGTGATGATGGATGTTTAATTGTCCTGTGTGCATAAACAAGAGGGATGGTGGTGAAACACTAAGTTATAAAACAATTTAACCAAAGAAACGAGGGCGTAAAATATTCGTTTAGAACCATACATTTTAAAATTTATTATGAGTGAAACTAATAAACAGCCACACTTATTTACAACTATAATCTTTTAATAAACTGGGGTTCTTTCCTGAGCTTAAATGTTCACTACTACTACTATTAATATACAGTTTTCATACGTGAGAAAAGTCCTTCCCGGTCTTAGTATTTTCTTAGGGATGGCTAACATTATTTGACAGTAGTTAATGATGTTTTAGAGTCATGAATTTGGTGGTTTCTATTAAGTTAAAACAAAGTTTGAAGTCCTCAAGAGAAACTAGATAATTAAAAGGCAGTATAGATACAATGATGGGTTTCCATCTGTTCGTTTTGACAACCATAATGATGGGTTTACATTTGTTCGTTTTAACAACCAGAATGATGGGTTTACATTTGTTCGTTTTGATAACCACAATGATGGGTTTCCATCTGTTCGTTTTAACAACCAGAATGATGGAGTTTCATCTGTATGTTTTAACAACCACAATGATGGATTTCCATCTGCTCGTTTTAACAACCAGAATGATGGGTTTCCATCTATTCGTTTTGACACCGTATTCCTTTCCAGAAGTCTCCCTCCTCCGATTCAGTAAAATTGTTGAACGACTAGCAAAGAAAGCTGACTAAGAACAAAATATATTATAATGTCTTTAATTATGATATTCATAATCTCATCCCAATAGAAGGTATCTAACCACACGATATGTAGTATTGAAATAAAATCCACCTATGACCCAGTTGTTTTTGAGAAGTTTATCATTAGTTTTATAGGATACTGAAATTATACCGTGAAAGGCTAAGGATAGCATATTTCTCATGATATTTCGTCGCCGGTCTTCATGAATGTAAGATAAATAGTCTGGTTTATAAAAATCATTAGCAGTTTTTAACGTAGGAAGTATTTAACTACTGCTCCATTTCTTGATCGTGGAACCAGTTTTTCGGTTAATTCTTTACAGAGCTCCAAATGTTATTTGAGTTAATTGCATTGACAAATAGTGACTGTATTTTGCTCCATTCAGAGCACTACGTAACATTAGTGAAACAGTCTTTTTACGGAAATAATGTTAATATGGTTTTTGTAGTGATTAAGTGACCTCCTTAAATACATATAAAAAAAGACAGGAACGGGCTCATTATAGTGTAAATGAAGTCACAGCTCTATCAGTGAAATTAAAACTAATTAGTCATTTCTTTTATTAGTGTAATCCGTGATCTGTTTTATTCGCTCGACACAACCAGAACATATGTCATTAGCTCTCCATCATTAGAGAACAAATATCAGTAACTCTCCATCATTACAGAACAAATGTCATTAGCTCTCCATCATTAGAGAACAAATATCAGTAGCTCTCCATCATTACAGAACAAATGCCATTAACTCTCCATCATTCCACTCTTACTGTTAATCTTCTGTTACTGTTGTGATATACAGTAATTTGCATAAATTAGCTTGTAATGTTAAATAGGTTACACCTTATATTCTTAGAGTTAGGGGTCACGTATTCATTAGTGTGTATAATTAAAATGTTTGATAAATTAATTAAATTGAGTTCACTCGTTTCAACTGTTTATAAGACTGTTTCATATATTTCTACTTTATATGGTACCACCCTAAATCAGAATTATTCAAATACTTCATTAGAGGAAAACACACTGCTTATACATCACCTGATCCGGAACTTGATATCATTTAGTAATAAATACTGACTGACTTAGGCTGAAAATGATACAAAGATTATTATCGTTTTAATCTGCCTGCTGCGTGAAATTGTACACTGTGAATGTGCAAGAAAGTTTAAGCACTACAAACTTTGACGATATTATACAAATGGAAGACACGCCACCTCTACTGTATGAATAACAAACTTTACTGTTAACTGTGTGTTGATAAAAAAAAAATAGTTACAAAATCATTTATAATTATCTAGCTCAGTAAGTAACTGGATAGTAAGTAAATGTTTTTTTTTTTCACATTTGGTCACATGTTCTAGTTGCACGTTCTTATATTTTGAAAATTCCAAACTGTCCCAAGAAACAAGATATGCTAAAGAATGGGTAGCCTATGATAGGCCATGAAAACTGACATATATGTAAAATGTGCGTTTAACTACATGATCCATTAACTTAGTTTCATAATTTTACAACTGGCTAAAGTTTTAAAGAACCTTACTTGTTTCCAGAAAAATTTTACTTGTATAAAGAGAATTCTTACCTTTTGTAAAACGGGTAATATTTATTGTGTTTGTTTAATTGTAATTTATGATGTGTGTGTGTGGGCACTAGTTTAAACTATACGTCTGCAACGAAATGTGTTCTTACACATTTTAGGTAAAATGTAAAAATGTGTGTAATGCCTGGAAGATAAAGACTTAATCATTGTAATTTTTATATGTCAATTAAATGGAAAAAATAGAGCGTCATATAAGTTTAACTGAATGTCTATATTTATACTAACGTACTCCAGGTAAAACAATTAAACAATACGTGACTAATGTTTTTACAGTAGATTAAGGAAACCCCTGAAAATAATTCAGTTATAAACAACAAGTATAATGCAATGATGAATGTTTATAATGACAAGGGATTGTAAAGTGTAGTGAACATAGAATAAATCCTGATTGGTCAATTGAATAATTTTACTCTTTGGAATTATTTTGTTAATTAATTAACGAATTATTAATTTCGTTTCCAATTCAATGTTCAGGATTTCAATATACGCTCGTCTTGTCGTGTTTGTAGTTTAATGGTATTAATACTTTGTCTTTTATGCTGAAGAAATCTTCATTTATGACTCAACCTAAACCAAACAATAAAATACACCATCAATAACCATTTAGGCCTCAAGCCGTGGGCAAGCATAAATAAATTTACTCTAATAAAGCTCATCTGGGTGACATTCCCTGTTGTCAACTTAAGTGGACTGATGAATGTTCACATCGCTGGAAACTCCAGTTTATATAGTTAACTATTGTATATTTGGTTTTGTTTCCTCTTATTTTTGAAAAATTATTTGTTTTAAACACAACATAGCACAGGCTACCTTCATACATAATATGCACACCTTTAATACTTTTTTGTGTTAAAGATTGAGTTAAAAAAACAACTAATAATAGTAACTGACAGATTTTTAATAGATCTCACATTCCCATGGTTTAGTATCTTATGTTTGAAGTATATAAAGTTTAGAATACAAAACAAAAAAGGTCACAAAAGCTGAATTGTTTATCAGTACAGTTTATTATAATAATTAAAATCTAATAACTAATTTTCTTGCTTCCTTACTACAAATGATGGATAGTAGCAGTATGGTTAAAAAGTCTTATAAAACAGTCTGTAAGGAAAGTTATTAAAATCATACAAAAAAAATACAAGAAAAAACCGTAGAGCAGTTGAATGTAAATCTTAGAATAAAATATAATTAATAGTTTGAAAGACTCTGCATGTCTTCTGGTTTTCAGAAGTCAGGCATCAATGATGACAGACTGCATTGAGCTACCCCAAACTTCAATTTGATGTAGTTTCAAGGAAATTAATATGTATCAGATAATTATCATCGTCCTTGTATATTGGACTGTTCATTGTTGGTATTGATTACAGTAAATGCATGTTTTCTTCTTAATATGACTAATGATATGTTTTGCCAAGATAACATCAACACTAACAACATGTTAGTAGACACAAATTATAACAAAATGGCTCACAGAAAACAAACGTCTATCGAGAAGTTCAAAAATTAGTCGTATGCGCGCACATACACATACGCTTGTAAAAGTGAAATAAATGGAAGGTTATTAGATGTCGCTATTCGCGAAACTTGCGATTTTAAGACATGATTGCGCCAATATTATAACTTCCAATACTATAAACATTGTATTGTGCTAAAATATTAGTTTTCAATCGAATGTTTGTCCAAACACTTAAGCATATCTCATAAATACTCCACGATATCACACTTCACAGACGGGAAAGAGGAATACATGGGAGCAGTATGGTCTCTAGCAGAATATTTAGCTAAAGTTTGATCGTCATTCACAGTACGATTCAAGTAAGGGAATAGTGGAGATATCACTCCTCCATCCGTTCTTCGAGTGTGTATCACTGACACACATGGATCACAAGGATTTCCACTATTTGTCGTCGTTAGAGGGTGCAGTGTTCCAAGACTTTTTGCTCTTTCTCGATTACTTTTTCTATTATGGCTTGAAGAATCTTGTACTAAAAAAATAAAAATTATATTGCGACTAGTTAAACAATATGATTAAAATACATTTTTTATTTTTCATAAAAGAGTCATTACAAACATTTAATAAAGAATAGATTTTAACCCCACAACAAAATGATAAAGCATTGAAATGATAACAGACTTCAGCTCCAAGTTCGATACATGTTGATAGAAACGTCATTTTTTAGATATACCCAGTCTTTATAAAACTTTATATGCAGTCCAGTACCAGTTTTCACGTTTGTCAGTAAAGGTGTTACAAGTATAAGTTAAGTAAATTGTAGATTCATAAACACGCCACTGTTCATGCCGAACAGGTTGTCTGAAACCTTTGTGTACATGACAGATTAGTTTTGAAACCATTAATTTATTAGCTACTATACTATTTGTAATTTTTCTGAGAGCAGTTCTAAAGGGGTAGAATTATTTTTCAATGAAGGCGTTTATGTATTTCACGTACAATCAAACAAGATCTAATAAGATGAAAAGAAAGGCAGTGACTAGAATATTTGTATATATATATATAATATGAACTCTTGTTAAGCACAAAGCTACACAATTTGCTATCAGTTCTATGCCCAACACAAGTATTGAAACTAACTTTTAGTATTATAAGCCCTCAGACTTACTGCTCAGCCACCGGGGCGCGGGAGCAGAAAGAGTCATATTTTAATTGTATCGAACGTTAATCCGTTGTATTGAAACAAAAAAAAAATACTAAGTAAACAAAACCAATCTTTCAGTTTTGGATGGAACGAATAGTTGCAAAGAAGAGATTTAGAGGCATAAAACAACATAAACTAAAATAATGTGATCGTGATTAAACATTCTAAAATATGAATTAGAAGAATAACAAGCTTATTTAGAAGGACGTCTGTATGTTAATTATGTCAAATAGTTAATTGCTTTTATTATAATGATTTGTTTTCTCCTTCATGCATGTAGTGAATAATTTATTCCAAGTAAAATGATTATAATAATAAAACAACACACTTATTCAGTGTTTTTGTAATTTTAATGAAATTTTAAATGATTTATAAATACCTTTTTGTGAAACCCCTGAACCCAATTCTTCCATGTCTTCGTCACATGACGATGACATCCCGTTTACTATTACCCTCTGGTGGAAACTCCTGATAGCTCGAGTGTATGAGGTATCATCAGACTCTGTACGAACATCTCCATCTTTAGGCGAAATACTTTTTGGTAAGCTTGATGATTCACTACTGCTTTCAGATTCAGAATCCATGTATTTAATCGTTTGACTAATTTTTTGTGTTACCGATAGGGGATGCATTTCTATAGTCGTTGTTAAATTATTTTCTTTAAATGTTATTTTCCTAACTTCTGGTGTCAAGGGCGCTAAAGCAAAATTGGATTCATTTTGATGAGTACAACATGTTTGTGTTGTATGTTCTACATCTGTTCCAATTGTTTCTTCGGAGTTCCTAGATTTAACGATAAAGATTTAGTCAGCAATCTCTTCCAAGCATATATAAGCCTCAGAAATAATTTTGTGCTTGAGGGTTAAAACTAGAAATATCAAACTACCTTTTTTCTTTTAAGATATACAATATCACATTATCAAATATTTTGAGTACATTAAGAAATGATGGACTTTAATTTCTTACCTAAGTATCAAAATGCTAAAGTTCAATACTTTATCTGTAAAAACAATCAATATATTTAAACGAGACAATAAATAAGTTTAATATGATCTTACAAAAACTGAGATTTTCTTAAAACAGGATTCAGACGCTTTGAATAATTGTTATAAAGTGACAAAAAGCAGTTTACAGAGAACGAATAATGACACAATAGCTAGCTTTTAACTCTAACGTATCTCATAACATAAACAATATATTTTTATTGAATTTTGTAAAATAACCTAAACCAAGAAGAAAACAGAATAACTTACATTATAGAAAGCTGTATGTTAGGTAGCTATAAAATAGCATTGTCAGCTCAATTCAGAATAACTCAAATTTGTTAAGTGTAAATATTTCTCGAGTATATCTACGGTTTTTAGTGTTATAAAGTGCTCTGCTAAAACTAAAAACTTCTGAACATAAGGCATAAACCATGTAGTACGTAGTTAAGGACCCAGTTTCTAGCGGTATAAGTCCGCAGACATGCCGCTGTGCCACTGGGGGGTATTTTATCGCTTAACAACTTGATATTTGTACTTTATTTAGATCTATTGACATAAAAAACAAAACAAAAAATAAAACATTCGACATTTTCATTTGATATCATCTCGGTAATAAAAACTGAAATTCTTGACATTTTGCGTTTTGTTTAGTTTCGTTAATTCAAATTGGTGTACCTGACATTTGTACAAGAAGTAATGACTGACAGTAGAAAGTGTTGTTGAATTATTTTAATCTCGGTTTACACAAGTGGTATTATAAAAATAAACTGTGGCCAACAAAGTCTAGTGTTAATGGGTAGATATCCGTTCTTTCTTTGTGACATCATTCTTTATGTGTTTTCATGAAAGATAACGTGCAACATAATTATAAAGTGGCAATTGCAAGTGACTTAGGTTTTGAATAATGTGTTGTGATTAATGCAAGTAATCCTAATTATCACCTGTGACTTCTGTGCTTTTGGTACTTTCAAGAACAAACAACATGGAATATACTTCCAAGCAACTGATTTTCTTAAAACAATTGTACATTCAATTTGTAACATCCCACCCACATTTTACCGAGTTCATTTGTTTGTTTCTCTGTTTTAGCGCAAAGCTGCAAAATAGGCTACCCATGCTCTGTACACCGCGGAAAATCGAACCCCGAATTTTACCGTTGTAATACCGAATTCGTATGATGAAGCTCTTTGGGAGAAAACGGATTGTACTTTAAAGGAAACGTGTTGAGAAATGATATTTGGTTGGTCACATCTTCAACACCATTGGCGTACGTTCCTTGTTTGTAATCTGATACGATTGGCCTAAAAGAAATAAAGTCCCCTTTCTTTTGTACACCCCATGCATGATAAACTGGAATGTAGTGAACGGATCGAGAATAGTCAACAAATGGAATGTTTATGTATCCAACATTTAGCTGATTCCAATGTACGAAAATATAGGTGTCAAGGCCTTTTATAATCTTACTCTTTGCGTAATTCTTTTGGAAAAAAAGTAACAAAGGCTCCTTATATAGACGATTTTACAACCAACTGAAATGAGAGTGAGAAAAGTTTTGAATAATTGAACATTTGGAAAAATAATGCAGATAAAGTCTTGATAAAAAATTCTTCCAACAATATTAACATAGTTTAGTCCTAACTGACATGGTAAGTTACAGGTGAGTTAAATCTCTAGCTTCTTACGCAAAACGAAGTAAAGTAAGATAAATGATTATAACGTCATTTAAATCGGTAGGCGTGTAAAATGGCCAATTTGAATATTTATAGAATTCCACTATGAAATTACATTCAAAATGATACCTATAAGTAAATCTATGTGAATCTTTATCTAAGTTGAATTGTCAAGTGCAACACTTTAAATATGTAGCACATGTGAATATATAAAATAATCATACCACATCTTAAACTTATGCTTATTTAAGGTGTTGAACTTAAGTTCGTCTATTTTCATCATCCACTATGTAATTAAAGCTTCTGTAAATAAGTAACCAAAGCGTACAATTTTCAATCAATTCGTGATGTTTAAAACGATGAGCACGACTCATTTTGTTCTTTATGTAATTGAATGAAAATCCGGTTTAAAATTACGAAATAGCTTCACATTTTTATTTTCATCCATTTTCATTCAAATTAACAAACTATCCGAGATTTAAAAATAATGTTTATAGTTGGCTTACCTTTAAAAAGTTAGGTGGTAGCAAAGCTATAGTTATTATAATTGTTTCTACTGGTTAAAACGTAAATTTGAAATAAGATATAGTAAATTATTACATTACCATGGTAAAGAACATTGTGTAAGATCTTCCTTGTTGGGGTGAGATGTTTGATTAAAAGACTCTTCCTCTTTTATAATGTAAGATGTGACCACTAGAACACAACGAAATAAACAGTATTAGTCATATCAAGCACATCACGTCAATTAAACAAATTTGAACTAATGAATAAAAGAAATATACAACGTTAATTATACAAAGTTTGACCACTGGGGTTCAAAGAAATATACAAAGTTAATTATATAAAGTTTGAGCAATGTAAAAAATATATATATAATGTTAGTTACACAAAGTTTACCACTGGAACACAAATAAACATGACATATTAATTACACAAAGTTTAAACACCGGAACACTATGAAATATATAACCTTAACCACACAAAGAAAAGTACAACGTTATAATTATTAACTTTTTGATAACTGAAACACAAAGTTATGTACAAAGTTTGACTATTGGAACTTAAACAAGCATTTCATGTTTTATTACACAATGGTTTACTGCTGAAACACAAGAAATATACCACAGATAAAACGTTTAATCCACAGAAACCCATGGATACATTTTACGTTTTTTTTCACAGAGTTTGGTTACCAAAACAGCAGCCCCCCCCCAGTAGCACAGCGGAGTGTCTGTGAACTTAGAACGCTAGAAACATGGTTTCAATACCCGTGGTGGGCAGAGCACAGATAGCCCATTGTGTAGCTTTGTGCTCTAATTACAAACAAAACAACAAACAAGCATATAACTTTGTTAAACAAAGTTGGACCGTTGAAATACAAAGAAACATACCAGGCCGGTTAAACAAATTTGTTCTTTGAAACACAAACTCACACTGCGTGAATTACACAAGACTGGTTTGTTTTGAATTTCGCGCAAAACTACACGAGAGCTATCTTGGCTAGCCGTCCCTAATTCAACAGTGATAGACTAGAGGGAAGACACCATCCACCGCTAACTCTTTGGCTACTCTTTTGCCAACGAATAGTGGGATTGACCGTCACATTTTGATGCTTGCAACGCAATATTGTGTTAAGTTATGTTCTTTATTCTGTGATATGAAATACTCAAGATTATTATTAAATTAGTGTCTTCTTTAATATAAAAATAACTTAGTTTTAAATTGTGAAATATTTAGAGAGACAGAAAATCGATTAACGCTACATAGCAATAACATTTTGTGATACATTAAATGACACCTAATACTGAACTCAATTCTGTTATGTGAAGTCTGTAGACCACATCACTGAATTTTTTTTATAGTTGGAAGTTATAAAGTTGCTAGGAACAGTCAAGATTCTGTAGCCTATAAAATTGAACAACCTAATTTTCCTTTCATAAATTTCAGTTTTCTTTTTTGTTCAATAAGAATTTATTATCAAAAATAAATAAAGTTGGGTACCGATCTGGATGTCATCTAAGGTTATAATTTGTTACTTATGATAAGCGTGCATAATGTTGCCTGTCAAACTCTGTATTTGCTTCATCTATATTTACCAACCTTGTGATAAATTCTCATAACTACTATCAGCCGACGAGGAGGAATTTTCAGGAATTGTGGTTATAGCATGTTTGATCATCACTAATGGTTCTTCCACTTCTTTCAGCTCTAGGACTAAAGTCTGAAGTTCAATAGTTTTCTGCAAAAGCAAACATCATAATATAATTGATGAGGCTCCTTTAAAACTGTCTATTATAATGTATGATACGAAGAACATTATTTGTAACATTAGTTACAATTATATCACGCTAAATAGTATTCAATGCTTTTGAAAAGGCTTATGTTAAAATAAGTTAAGCATAAACCCAAGATACAAAGGCTCCTAACTAAACAAACACTTATTTACTATTTGATAAAGCTGCGTTATTTCATGCTGGTCTCAAGGCAATATCAGTTATATACCTCACTATTGAATGATTCAGTTTATTATAATATAGATTTTGATAAGCTTCTAAGTGCACTGGGAGTGTCATAAAAATAATCTAGCATAATGTATATAAATACAATCTTGGCCAAAATGTTTGCATATTTTGTAACAAATAAGATCATTATTATTAAAATAGCTTATAGCTTATAGCTTAGCGCTGTATAACACAGAGAAATGCGTATTATATTAAACATCTAAATATTTAATTTGTATAATGAGACAGGTTCTGTGTACGTTATGAACGATTTATTAGAACAGCAAACAATTTTATCAGACACCTGTAGAAAGATGTGTAATTCATCATTCCTCCTATCACAATAAAACCTCACCAAAACATTTATGTAACATAAATTATTATAAATAACGTCTGTAACCTTATATGAGTTCATATTAAATATTCAGTACTTGGTTGGTCCTTCTTGGAGGCTAATAACCTTCGCAAGGCAACGTGGCATACTGTAGACGTGGTTATTGATGTAATCCACCGTGATTTTATCCCAACTTGTCAATAGAATGTGGTGCAACTCAGTTACAGTAGCCGATTTAGGGTTGTGTCTAACAATTTTCCGGCTCTGTTCTGCCCAACGGTTTTCATTGGGATTACAATATGGAGACTTTGTTGACAATGACAATCTTGTAATGTCCTCCTGTTTGAGATAATCCTGTACAATACACACACTGTGAGCAATGGCATTGCCATCCTGGAACACAGAATTATTGATAAACCTTGCCCTAGCATATAGCAGAAATATCGTCTCCATGTGATGCCTGTAGGAGGTGCCAATGACTTTTTTCCTGGAGGATATTAAGAGCAGTTTTTCCACCACAATGATTAGCTGCCTAAACATGTACTGCACCACCTCCTATGGGCTCCCTACGGGAAAGACAGTTTTTTTCCTTATCTGTTCTTCAGGCAAACGATGAATTTGAATTCTATCATCAGCTTTAATAAGCCAGAAACAGATCTCATCTGAAAAGATTACATCGCCAGTGTCCTAACTGTAAGTTGGCATATTGTCTTGCCCAAGTAACACGGTGGCAATGGTGAATTCTGGCTAATATCGATTTGCAGATAGCCCTTCTTGCAAAATGACCTAATTTGGTCAGTTTCCAATTCACTGTCGTAAGGTGTTGCAAGACTTCTTTCGACCTTGACGTATTAACCTGGGTCATCTTGGGCAGTAGTTTTTCGGCATCAACCAGTAGACTTTCATGGAACATCGTTTCCGTAGTCCGATGACGTTTCCGGATTCTGGATACAGTACACTGGGGGTACTCTACTGTTCTGGCAATGTCCGTTTGCTTCATACCATTTCTGGACAGCCGAACAATTTGACGCCCAATAACTTCTGACACATGACGAGGCATGACTCTATAACAAGTACAGAGAAATTGTCTGAACAAAACCTTAATCTTTTTCGAAAAAGATTATACCAAAAGCACACCCTTTTATACAAGACAGGCGTGTATGTATATTTTGACGAACAAACGTTCAAAACAACTTATAGAGACCAGAATAACAATTCGTACATATTTGTCCGATCATACGCTACCTTTTCTGTTACTTCTCGGGCATTTGCTCAATAACTATTCCATGCATGTAGACAATATCATCAATATAGAATAGTATGCAAACATTTTGGCCAAGACTGTATGTGTACGTAATTCGTTAAGTATTTAAATATTCCAGCAATATAATACATGTAATTTATTTTAAGGTAAGTAAAATATAGACAATTGATTGTTTGTTCCGGATATGCACTCAAAGTTACACAAAGGCTGTCTGCGGTAGCGTCCCCAATTTTAGACTGAGAGACTAGAAGGAGGGCAACTAACCAACAGCACATACCGCCAATACTTGGGCTTCTTTAATCAACTAATGGGATTTGACTGTCATTCTTATGACGCACTCACGGCCACAAAGTGCTGAGCGAGATATTTGTTTTTGTAGAAACGGGACTGGAACCATGAACATTCAGATCTACTGTGAAGTACATTAATGAATGGGCCACTCCCGGCCAAAATATAAACAAGTTTTCAACCATTAATGAAATTTGTCGTAGAGACGCTTCTGTACTAATAAAAAATTAGGTCATGAATCATCAAACACGGATCGTAACAGCATGTATTCCTCCTAATAGATATTTTCAATCTTAATTCTAAAATTCAGTTTTGATAATCTAAGTTTCTTTAGCAATAATCTAAGCAAACAATGATGTCCCAAGTATATGTATTAGAAAACTTCATATTTCGTTCTCTAAGTTCTCTAAGTGTACTTTATTTTAAATACCTCGTTTAATATCTGTTTCTGCCTGCAGTTCTGATTTTCAAGAATTTTAATTTTGTTCTGTATTTCGTCATCCGAGTTTCTTCGTGAACTTTTAAAAGGTTTCAACGTGGCTCGTGTTCGTACATCTCCACTGTCTGTATTACGTCGTAACTCAACTAGCTGAAATGAAAAGAAGCATAAATTTAACAAAATTTGTAAACTTCAATCTTCTTTACTTATTAACTAAAGAAAACAAAATAATATTGATTCTGTATTAACGATGTATTTTAACTTGGGCAAGAAAAAACAAACAAACTATATTTCTAAATCGTCATTGTTATAATTTTAGTAGCTTACATTTTGATAAAATGAACATCTAGCTATTTTATTTACATTTGAAAAAAAAATTAAATTTATTATTATTATTTAATTTTTGTAATGGTAAAAATAGTCTGATACTTGATTAACGTAATTGCCTCTGATTGTTCAGTTACGTTTAGAATTTCAATTGAATAAGTTTAATTAAACATAAGAATTATCGAAATATTTGGATAAAATGTAGATTCTTTTCTGAAACAAATTCTAAAGTAGTGAAGGCCAGGAAGTGATTTACAGATGTAAATAATAAATATAAAAGTATAAAGATATCCAAAAGCTTAGCAATTTCCAGTGCCAGTTGCAAGTCCCAAATGATTGCTTTATCAAGCATAAACAGTTTCAACTCTGTTAGGATGTACTTTATTAGAATTACCAACGAAGAGTGATTTTTAGTCTTCATCCTATTGAAAACTTTGGTTACACATTTTAATTAAAATATGACTACCTCTGACAGAACAATGAATTACTTTATCTTTGCACACGAAACTTCCACAGATAATATTCCATATTACACCTTGTTTATTATTTTGTGACAAAAATAAACAGGTTTTAATCTAAATCGTTAGATGTTTTTATTTATAAAGAAATTAATAAATAACTAATCTCTCTGTGTTTTATTTTCTTTGAACATATGTCATTTATCATTTATAAAGTAGAATATCAAAAAAAAATTAAAATGTTATTATTTGATAGAAATAGACTGACGTGTAAGACTTTGAGTAAGTAGAAAACAACTCAAGGTTAGGAAGGAATCAATAAAACATGCAACACTCCAGACACTCCTAAGACACGCGATTGGTAAACTTTGCTTGTTTCACGACACCTTTCGGAAGGATGTGTTCTTCCTTGCGTTTACAATCTTAAAGCTATTTACACACAGGCTAGCGCTCCCTCTCATGAGAATAATACAGCTTTATGGTAATTACACAAATAAAAAGCCAATGATATTACATGCATTTCCTCTCAAACAAAACATTGTTTGAGCTTTATGCTATAAAATGCAAGACAGAGTCATATAACACGGTAACAAATTATATGTTACAGCCATAAAAAACTTTTTCATTGCTGCCTAGCACATAAGGCACTTTGTCAAGTACACAAGAAAGCGAGAGCGAAACAATAATGGCCACATGAACATAACAGAAATATCGCGAAATGAATGTCTTAGCTGTGTTACTCAGTGGGTCAGCTGTGGGTTTACAAACTCACAATATTCCCTGTGGTGAACAAAGCCCATTGTATGACTTTGTTCTAAAACTACAACCCTTGGCTTCAAATGAAACAGTTAAAAAAGTGTTAACGTACAGATTAAGTAATAAACTAGGAAATAGTGTTGTAGATGCAATTTTTTGTTCTGGAGAGGAAAAATTAATAATTTAATCGAGAATAAACACTTTTTTGTATTTTCATTCAATCATGTCTTTGCTTCGTTTTTATATGAATCTTTTAAACACTTTGATGCAAAAGAAGTTGTTTTAAAGACTGTTTTGAGTTTGTGGATCATATTAAACCATTAAATTTCGATGGAAATATACGTTCAACTAGCTTCGATGTGAAGTTTTTTTTGTTGTTGTTTCTATACCACTGGATGAAAAGATTGAACAGGTCTATTCTATAAACATCGTGATGTCATTATCAATGTCGCTGTAGACATTTTTTATAGCAAATTACTTTATAGCAAGAATTTTCAACTTTTCCTTATGAAAATATTAATGACCAAATTAACTGTATTGTTAAGACTTTGATGCATTTCTTGCATTCATTAAATAAAATGGTTATATTTGTACTCACGATAAAGCTACTAAGGCCACCTAATTCCGTCTATAATTTTAAACTACAGATTAGAGGGAATGTAGTCAGTCATCCTAACACTCACCATTCATGCTAAGAGGTTGCTTTTCTATCTTATTACGCACCCACAGTGCATGGAATATTTTGTGGTATCCATGTATATAAATCCGGCTCGCCAGCACCAAAATCCAGAGTTTTACCATAGGGCCACCCCAGTCCTGAAAATGGTTATAATATTGGCCTCAAGAATCTAAACCCCCGATTTTTTGAAGATGACGCTTTTATAATATTTAAAAGCTCAGAACGTGTTAACAATTTTCTTAAGTACTTGAACGGCAAATTTAGATATCCCAATTTAGAGTTTAATGTCAAAAATAGGGTAAGTTAGTTTTCCTTCAAACACTGGTCCAAAATTTGAAAATAAAAATCCTATCTGAAACGTTTCTGGATTTTACGCTTGTTTTAATAGTTTTGACCCGATAACATATTAAGTTAATCAGGTGAACATTTTATTAATTAAAATAACCAAAAATTAATTACGTTATTGATTCATTTTATAACGAGTAAGAGACATTAATTAGTTACTGCAGAAAATAATATTATCAGTTGTACGTCTTTAGTCACTTTGTTAATAAGTTATTAAACATACGGCCACCCCAATCGTCTACTGTATGATGCGCCAAAGAAAACTGTTACGCTTGTTTTTCCATGTTTGGGATCTAATGATCTAACTGTGACAAAAATATTATGAACACGTAGACTTCCCTATCCTGAAGTTAAGATTTTATAGGTTTCAAGCCTACAGTAAAGTTACAGAATTTATCCGGATTCAAAAACGTCATTCCATCTATGAAACATTTATCTTGTCTAACCATGCTTGGAGACGGCTTGAATGGGTAATGAAGAAAACTTTAATATAAGTTTAACATAACAGCAAATGTACAACGTTTCGACAAGGTTTTGTCATCATCTGCCTACAGGGATACATAGGGTCAAATACTTATATTTCTTCATTAAAATCAAGGAGTACTTCAAATATCTTTAAATATTTTAATATTTAAGTAATATCTTTAAATAGTATCTTTAAAGAATTGTTATCAATCATGGTACGCCAACGGTTTCAGAGCATAACATCAGCTGATCACCTTTATACTATTTTTTGTTTGACTTCTTTAGACAGCAAGGGCCCCCGAGATATATAACAGTGCATTCTGTATGGTTTTGTAATACTTTAAGACATTAAAAAGTTAAACAGAGTATGTTCAGTTATTATACACGACAGAATGGTTTACAAATTTTCTTGACTTGTAATAAGTTTGAGTAAATATGGAAAATAATGTTTCGTATTTAACATTCTTTTCTTTTAGATACGATGTGTTGTAAGAAATAATTTGATGATATGACTGCACATAAAAAATAACAACAGAAAAGTCAATAATTGAAACATATGTATTTGAAACAGACAACATTTTAAATCAAAATCATACATGAACGACAAAATGTTCAAATGATGGTATTCAGTAATTTACTTCTATCATTTTTGGTGATAAAATACAATCTCGTGCTTTTTATATTTCTTGAAATGCAGTGATAAATACACAATATTAAAAGATATATATGTAGCCCCTCCAAATTTGTGATTCAGTATTTGTTCTTTGTGTATTTTCTCACCGGGATCCTGTAATTTAGTTTTATTTGTTGTCCCTGATTCTTGATTTTTCTTGGAGATCTTGTAATCCAGTGATATATCAAAAAGGTGCTTTATTTATCACATTTCTACTATGATTATTGAAATAAAGTGATAATTATGATAATCTTAATAACAATCAGTATTCATAGTTCATTCCTAGGGCCCCCAGTGGCACAGCGGTATGTCTGCGAACTTACAACGCTAGAAACCGGGTTTCGATACCTGTGGCGGACAGAACACAGATAGCCCATTTTGTAGCTTTGTGCTTAATAACAAACAAAAAAATCTTTCCTACGTACTTAGAATCCTGTAATCGTAATCAGGTTTTGTAAACCAGCAACGTATAAAGTTATTCTGATTAGTTTATTACTCACAGTTCTTTCCCAGGGTTTCGTAACCTATTAATAGCTCTAGTTATTATATTTGTTATTCCTATTTTTTACCTGAAAATCCTGTAATTCACTGATATTCGTAGTTATCTTAATGGTATTTGCTATTTCTAGCTTTTTGCACAAAATCGGAATAAATATCTTAATGATATTCATTATCCCTAGTTCTTATCCGAGTGCTCTTGTGATCCTGCATCATATCTAATTATCTTGAAATATTTTTGTAAGCTAGTTATATTGACATATATACATATACATTTATCAAAAATTGTATTTCTTATCCCATTGCTCTCTACCAGAAATCCTGTTATTCAATCCTAAACCGCCTAATCAACTGTATGGTTATATATGTACAATAAAACAGATTTCGATGTGACATGATAGGTCTGTATTACTTTGTGTCATGCACTAATGTGTACAACATTCGGAGAAAAACGATGTAGAGAGAAGCAAGACTACATTCCAAAATCTAGTGAAGAGTTCATAAAGTAACTCATTGCTTTTTTCTTTTAGATTCAGGTGTGACTTAGGAAGACTAGAGAGAGAGATAAAGAGTTCTTGTAGCTTTTGACCTTAACTTTAGTTAGACAAAAAGATTTTGTGAAGAAACTCAACTAGTCATACAAGACATTTAATAAAGTCTGTGTTACGCACAAATGTAGAAGCTGAATTTTCCAACAACTACTTTTTTTAGAGCACACAAACTTTATGTGGAAAATGCAGTTTTTAAGTTATACCTCAAAGAGCACTTGTAAACAAATGAGCCATAGTAGTTCTAACTTACTTAAATATAATGATAGGAGATGAAGATGAGAACTTAACCCATTTAACAGTGTTGCTTCAAAAAAACTCGTATCATGGATTTAGTGCATTACTGCTGTAGTGATTGCTACTTAACAGAATGCCCGCCAGACGCACAGTATTTGAGGATAAATTATCTTGTTTATAGATCTCAGGCTATTAAAAAATCTTACTGACTTATAGGATATTCTTGGCTTGAAGATATTCTAGTTCTTAAGAAGTTCACATTTGCAAAGTTGTACATTTGCAATGCAGTTTTTTTTAATCACTGAATATAGAAAAACTATTCTTCCGCGTGTTCATATAGATGATTGAGAGAGATTAACTTTACAGAGTACGTAAACGTTTAAGGAAACAAGATAAGAAAATCATGTTTCTATGTCCTTAGATTGGAAGTAGGCATCAAAACAATATACAAGTGAGTCGTTATAGTGAGAAAATTGGTGAAATGACTTTATTCCTTGGAGATGACATGAAAAGATTACTGGTTACAGGCCGATATTCCGAAGGGTCATAGTTCCGAAAATTGAACGTAACAGGCCCGTACTCAGATTGTTTGAAAGGGGGGAATTCTAGTTCGTGAGATCAAAAGCCAACACATATTGTACGAAGCACAATCAACATGCAAAGCATGCTAATGCTACGAGGATCTGGGGGCATGGGACTATTTCGAGCCAAAAAAGCTAATGCTTCATCAGAAGAATGTAGACTATGTATAAAAAGGTAAATACCATAAGTAGCTGCGCTATAACTATATAAGCATATTTTTTGACAGCACAAAAATAGGGGGTTCGGCCGAACATCTTCGAACTCCCCCCCCCCTTGCATGCGTGCGTAAAAGCAATTACACATGTAGGCCTAATGTTAATTCAGGTAGTTTTATTACATAAACTGTAGTATGTGTATAATGTTATATTAGAGATATAAGCCGATAGCATTTTGAGGTACGTTTGTAATAATTCCAGAGACCTATATTATTGTTACCAGTAATGAAAGCTTTCAAATCTTTTGAAAAGTTATGTCAAAATTCTCATAATAATAATATATAAGTTGAATAACAATGATGAATAAAACAAACTCCAGTACTAGTGGCGGAATGTTTTCGGAATATCGGTCTGTTTCCGAATTCTTAACTAGCAACTCTAGTAATGTCAGTTGTGGCAAAAAAAGAATGAAATGTATTTGAAAACAAATGAGTTCATAAACACCTAATAAAAACAGCAAAAGAACTAGTTGAATAGAATAATAAACGTATTAGTATTAGAAAAAAAAGTATCCTAAAAGCAAAGTAATTGGGATCCTGTGTTTAGAGCGATAACGTTGCAAATTGCTCAGCTCATAAATAAAGAAATATAATGAACTTTTGGGACTGTTTTTCGTGAAATGTAACGGAAAGGACAACATATCAGTGCACACATATACCTTAGGTACAAACACCAAGCATAGGGTTGTTGTGGAACAAAAGATGATGAACACAGATATAATGACAAAAGCAGCATCTTGTTTGTCTCGTAATACGAATGATATGGCAGCACCAATAACACACATTATCACCACGTTGTAGACGCTCATCCCCACATACTTGGAGTCGTTGAGTGCGGGAATGCTGACGTGCCGAGTTTCCCACGCTAAAAAACACCCAAAAGCCTGAAATTGTAAAAGAAAACAAATACAATTAGTGTGAAAGGAAAAAAAAAAGAATTCTTTAAACGTAAGAGATACAATCAGGAATTTTGATGAACATTATGTTTTGAAATACAATATAGTGTGATTTCGTAAACCTTAAATACTGTTTAGAAGAGGAAGTTCTCCATTTAAAGTCTTTACTAATAATTTGTTAGTATTTCAGATCTTCTGCTAGTTTTAATGAAATGATGAAAACGAATGCACTAAAGGAATTAACCGAACCTTTGAAGAAGGAAGATAGTAACGAAGAATCATGACTTTAAGTATTTTCAGTCATTTGGAGATATAACTAATTAGGAAACTTTTTTGTCGTTTATTTCCAGCTCAACAAAGTTATTAGAAGCCTACCATTAAAAGGCCTTTGTACGCATAAGTTGAGCCCAGAAAAATTGTCATTTTTTCGCTCTGGCAGAACTCCATCTCTGGGATAATCACCACATCTTTCTTCTTGGTGGACGGCTATGAATAGTAAAAATAAAGACAGAACAATATGGCAACTGATGGATTATTTGTTTCAAATGAAACTGGATATTAGCTAAACTCTTAAGACGCTAAACTAACGTTCTAAAAATAAATATTTTAACTAAGCAAAATTTATTCCTGTAAACCAATTACTCATATTTAGGCCCTTTTTTTAATGCTTAACAATTAACTGCGTTAAAATGAAAAATATCATGTTTAAAATACCGCGCCCTTCTATGCATAATACTTAACAAAAACTAGGGCAAATGTGATATATCAGAAATAATGTTTAAGCTATATTTTTAACTTACAGACACATAAACATGTTGATTAATGCTTTAAGTCCATATAAGTCACACTGTAGTTATTGTTTTATCGAGTTTATTTAAACATGGTGGGATAGCATTAGAAAAATTCATATTAATGAGTGCTCCAATATATCATTCTAAACATTCAACTGTGAGAAAGGAATAAAAAATGTTTTAATAAAAAATAAGGTAAATATTAATTTGTTACAGAGTTTTCAAGCATAACAATGTTTTAGCCTATATAAAAATAATAACGTTTTTTGTGTGTCTTCATCAAATTACATAAAACGAAGCGTGATAATTCTTTTCTTAAATTTAGTACCAACGAATTCAGTAGTTTTTATTTCTATTTTTTAGGCATAATTAGTTTAAGCTAATTGATTTTTGATCGCTATCACATTAGTGTTCTTTCATTACATCAAAAAGATTTAGATAAATAAAATATGGAAATTTAAACTTGAATGTACTTCATTGCATTCAAGGAACCTCATTCGTTATCCTGCCATTAATGGGCCTTTTTCTGATGCGTGCCCCACGCACGAGCGTGTTTGGCATATCGCTTAATCCGGATCTGAGTGCAGTCCATACTTTTATATCACATTCTTTTTGATCATGACAAGTAATATTTGGACATATCATGAAAACATAAATATTTGGAACTCTTGCAAATTGATAATTCACATATTAACAACACAGCGCTAGCGAGTGCAACTGAGAATGTGAATTCAATACGTTCTCAGTGGTTTTTGATTAATCAAATATAGCCTTTTCTTTTTGTTTACAGGAGTTTAGTTATTAGGGATTTTGAAAATAAAAAGTAAAAAAACCCGAACTCAGAAGTTAAGGCTTTTTTATCACAAAATGTTTGATAATCCTATCAATAATCATATAATTTTATTAACAAATTACCAATAAATAAGTTTTGTCAATAACTTAAATAAAAATAATGAAGCATTTAGACAAATTATGTTACGATAACAATCGCAGATGGCTTCTGTTCATACTTATTGCAGTTAAGAAAACTTACGTCTGAAGTTTGTTTTTCTGAAAAAAAGTTTGTTTTTATATTTTTAACTTCTTTAAATTTGTATTCACCAGTTTGATGCAATGTATTTAAACTTTTTTTTACACATAACATGATGTGAAACGATCAATTCTAATTTCATTAGTTGATAAGAGTAGTCTAGAACAGACACCCCGTGACTCAGCCATAAGTCTGAGGGCTTATAACGATAAAAATCGAGTTTCGATACCCATAATGGGACCAGAACAGAGAGCTCATTGTGTAGTTTTGTGCTAAACAACCAACAAATAATAGCCTAGAATATTTCGTTTTTAAAACGTACTTTTCCAATCGGCATTAAATCATATTATATACTGTGAGAAATTGCGTTCTTTTGAGCCTTTGAAAATACAAGTACTACACGAAAACAGTCTTAAAAGTAATTTTCCACAATATAATGAATCAGTGCATACTGTGTCGTCCCCACTCCTACTTCATTTGAATTAGTATGTTCTAACCGGAGTAGCCATGAGTTTACTTACGTAGGTACACCTGAATTGACAAAGTAAGGTTGATAAAAGATCAGGAGACTAATTCTTATACTATTGCTCTCGTATATTATTATAGAGGAGCGTGAACTACTTTTTTTTAAATGTTCAACTTAATAATGAAAATGTGTGATTAAATTGTCGTGGATATTGTGGGATAATTATATGTGTTTAACATGTGTATATTAAGAAACTTGTTTGTGTAAGAAATCACAAGGTAGAGATTAAATAACCATTAATTTGCTCACTGTCATTATATTTCCAGTTTCTAGTAACCAATTCATGTAATTAAACTCATTGCAATTGGTTTCTATTTCCATATTTGTGCATATTGAACGGCAAGTGTTTCTGAACGTGTTTTAATCATAACATATAAATTGATTTGCTACATCAGAAGATTATCCTTTGAACATTTTAGGGTAGCTGTGATTATGCATAGCTCATCTGTTCTTAACATAGAGTTATAAGGCACTTGCATTTTCATGCTACTATCTTTTTCTAATCTCCAAGATTCTAGGCTAACAATTGGACCCCTGTCGTTGTTTTTGTGTGAACCAAGTATTCTAAGCTAACAATTGGACCCTGTATTTGTTTTTGTGCGACCCAAGGTATTCTAAACTAACAGTTGGACCCCTGTAGTTGTTTTTGTGCGACCCAAGGTATTCTAAATTAACAGTTGGACCCCCTGTAGTTGTTTGTGTGCGAACCAAGTATTCTAAGCTAACAATTGTACCCCGTAGTTATTTTTATGCAAAAGTTTCCTTAAAATGGAGTTAAGATAGATCAAGAATGGACAGGGAAGACATATATTTACATTAACGTTGAGTCTTGGTACCCAGGTAAAATTTAGATGTTGTAACAATATATTTTATACATAAGATTTAGTATAAAGAGAAGATATACTCGGACTTGGTACAAAATGACGTTTTCTTTTCTTTGTTGTAATTTGCAATATTATCTAAAGTATGTTCTTATAACACAGTTCTCCAATTAGAGAAAGTCATTAAATATTTTTATGTTATTTCTCTACGTTGGAGTATTCTTGGCGTCTTAGTTTCTAATTGTTATAGCTCCTCAGTATTCTCTGACCATTTTCTGCCATTTCTTTACGTAACTTGTTACTCATCGAGTATCTACTGATCGTGGTGATTGGTTTGTTGCGAGTGAGGTCACGACATTTACGCATTGAAAACGTAGAATAAAAGGGAAAAAAAAAAGATGTGTCAGACTTTGTTTGTTTGGTTTGTTTTGAATTTCGAGAAAAGTTAGTCGAGGGCTGTCTGCGCTAACCATAACTAATTTAGTAGTGATAAACTAGATGGAAGGCAGTTAGACAGTTCCACCTACCGCCAATTTTTGGGTTGCTCTTTTACCAACAAATGATGGGATTGACCGTCGCGTTATAGCGCACTCATGGTTGAAAGGGCGAACAGATTAGATAACGGAGATTCAAACCTACGACCTGCAGACTGTTAGTAGACCGCTTTAACCACCAGGCCAGACTTGACCAGTAACATATAACAACTTCAAATGATTGATAAAAATATTGTATAAGCTCCTAAACATCATTAATTAATTTTTTAATTTATAAAATTTACACAACAGTTTACAAATGTTTAAACATCAAACAAAATGAGGAACTTCTTATTTTTTGCCATACATGTTTTATTATTGTTTTTTGTTTTTTTTGTCTACGTGTATAAAATATATTAGTTTGTACAACTCAAAGTAATATAGTGAAGATGACAGAGAAAGAAAGTGGTTTTAAAGAATGCTTTTAATTTTTTCCTCTCTTTCTCTGTGTAATGGATATACAAAAAGTTATATACATACACAACTTAAGGACCACAATACAATAAACACATGAATAAAGTAAACGAAATAAATATGTTTTTTTATTATATTTGCTTCTGCTTTAATCACTTGTAAATGCTTCTGAAACAACGAAAATTTTAGCAAAGCAAAAAATGTGTAAGATAACAAACTGTTATTACTTTTATAGTATAAATTATTATAACATATTGAAGTTTCTCCTGTTTGCGATTCTACTCTTCTTATTATTAGTTTAGCCAATAAAGTTTGACAGAAGATTATTTTTATTTACTTGTACGTTTTCTTGGACTTCTTCTCATCTTCCATTAATCAAGATTTTCTTCCAAATACAAAAAGTTGATACCTTATAATAAAACTATTTTGAATATCCAAACTCACAAGTCGTGACAGCCGCAGACGAGGTATAATTGTGGTGGAATTGTTTATTTATTTGTAGTTAAGCATAAAGCTACACAATGGGTTATCTGTGCTCTGCCCACCACGTGTATCGAAACCCGGTTTATAGCAGGTGGAATGGTATGTATCAGATTTACAGTTTTATATTGTTTTTTGGCTTTTAGATGTGTATTGCCACCGAATATTAGCCTATTTTGGAAAGAGTATGTAACAGCCCTCTCCGACACAAAATATTTATATACTCAGATAATAAAGCTTTTTCAAGACGGGGGGTATCCTTCATAATTGATGATATTGGAAAACAAAAGACAATAGATCAACTTAGGGCACCACGACCATCCAGAAACAGACTGCAAAAAGTCGTACTCAAGCCGTGGTAAGCACAGTGCGGCATCTTGTAACAGGTGGGAAGCCACGAACAGAAGGATCAGTGGTAAAAGCCGTACACGTGTCCCAGATAACCGTATGCAACATAATAGAGAAAAGTCTCTGTCTGGAAACGATACCGTCGGGATATCGGTTCACCAAGATAAGACATCTAGCCACACTTCCCGCTCAACTGTCCCATACCTCAAGCAGCTAGAGAATGAAACGATACCGTCGGGATATCGGTTCACCAAGATAAGACATCTAGCCACACTTCCCGCTCAACCGTCCCATACCTCAAGCGCTAGAGAATGAAACGGATATTGATGCAGTTCTTTAAATGATTGTATATATATATTGTGTTAACATCATGGAGTGTTGTGAAGCTCTTACAGATAATTTCATATAACAAAAACTGTGATGCTAATTGATTTTGTATATCAATCGCTTATTCATTTGCAAATAATTTAAAATTAAAAAGGAGAAAGATAAGACAGTCATGTAGGAACTTGTTACAAAAATTTGTTATAACTTGTATTAGTCATCATAGAAAAACACATAAAGCTATACATTCGAATAGGTGTCAGACTCTAAAAGCAAATTTTATTAAGGTCAGAAAATGAATAACTGTAAAACCCATTTTTTTCTTTCTTAAAGCTGATTGAATAACGTAAAGAATACGACTCTTGAGTATCATTATTTTCCATGTTCAGAAGGGAGACAATCGCTGTTTCCGATAAATTCTCTACTTCAGATATAGGTATCGTAAACTATAACTATAAACTTCCCTTTGTGTTTTTTCTTATTTCAGAAACATTAACTCACTGCTAGAATGTAAGTGCCTACCCTCAATTTACTAACTTCTTTACGTACGGTTCACTGTCGGTGGGCACTTTTATTCATACTATCTCAGCACTCATTTTAAGGTATTTTGTTGTCTATAGTTCAGTGATCACCAATGGGCTATCTGCACTCTGTTCAGCACGAGGATTCAAACCCTGCATTTTCGCAGTGCATGTCCGCAAACTTACTGCTAATCCACCATTGGATTTATTTCAAAGAACTGATCAATACTATTGGACGAAATCACCCATTTTCTATGTAAAATACATAGAAAACCCTTGCAGTAATTAGTGGGATTAATTGCATTAGTGATGACATTGTTTGTGTAATACATATTTTGTTAGGAGTCTTGTAAGAAAGGGTTTAAAATGTCAACGTGATTTATTGTAATTTTGTTAATTTGCAAAGTTCTGATATGGTTTTAGGTAGGCAAACAAACGTTAACTGAAATATTATCCACTAAATTCTGATAACCATCACTATAGGAAAAAGCTATTTTAGAAATGCTGAAAAGTGAAACTATATATATACTTTTTAGCGGCTTAGCCTAATTAAAAATATACAGTTACCTCAACTTTGATAAATTGTAATTTTTATCCGTAAATTATATTAACAAAGTTAGACACAGGTTAATAATTTTGTTAACATAATGTCCGGACATTCTTTGTAACTTGCTTATCATATTTAATACCCGTATTATTTACTTTATGAAGTTTGATTAAGTTACTTTAATTGATTATATCTCTGTTGTTTAAGTAAATTTTTTCTTTAATTAATCCGATTAATAAACTAGAGAACAGATGTTGTAATGATGTCAACGATAATTATATTGATAGAAATTATTAATCACATCATAAAGACGTCTAGTTTAGAAATCTTTTAAGCACAACTTGTGAGTATAGAGGTCGTCAATGAATAATGGAGTATTTTTATGAGGATATTTATAATTTCTGTGGTAGTTTGTGCACACAAAATATGAGAATTTTTACGATTAGTAAGATCACCCATTTCCTTTTTTGTAGAAGTGAGGATAACTACTTGACAGGAAAGATGGCACGATGCTCAGTTCCATTACACAACAGAGTGTGGCGTGAGTTTATAGATGAGGAAGGAGAATGAAATATTAACACTTTTGTACGGTATGTAACGCCTAAATTGGCGAAGCGCGATCTGTAGATTGATAGTATGTTATTACATCACAATAAAACTGTTAATAATTGTCATCACATATTTCTTTCTGACCCTATAGGAAATTACAGAAAAAATAGTAAAATATCATTTCAGCTATAAACTATATGTGTCACATGCCATTGCGACGAAGTTTTCCAGTATTGCCAGAGCTCTTTTTTTTTCAATACATTCAATATTAGATTTAAATATACTGATAACCTCTTGAATACCTGCTTTATTAAATTAATTAATGACATAAGTGAAGCCAGTCCTGTGATAAAAATATGTGAAGCAATAAACAATTTGTCTACGAGCTTGTGAAGCAGAAATTGTGATAATAAACAAAAAACAATTTGTCTACGAGCTTGTGAAGCAGAAATTGTGATAATAAACAAAAAACAATTTGGCTACGGGCTTGTGAAGCAGAAATTGTGATAATAAACAAAAAACAATTTGTCTACGAGCTTGTGAAGCAGAAATTGTGATAATAAACAAAAAACAATTTGTCTACGAGCTTGTGAAGCAGAAATTGTGATAATAAACAAAAAACAATTTGTCTATGAGCTTTTGAAGCAGAAATTGTGATAATAAACAAAAAACAATTTGTCTACGAGCTTGTGAAGCAGAAATTGTGATAATAAACAAATAACAATTTGTTTACGAGCTTGTGAAGCAGAAACTGTGATAATAAATGTTGAAGGGTTTCTATTAAACAACAATAACAACAGAAATGATATTAATAACGCACAACTCAGCAACATCTAGGTTCGTCTATCAATCACTTTGATATCAATTTCCCACAACTCAATGAATTTACAATTAATAATAATTGAGTTCTACAGGGGATTGCAGAATATACTTCTTTCACTATTGCCTAAATATTTCTCACAGATGTTGCTTTTAGTACACTGGGGCATCTTGGTGCACGACATGCATGGTATGTCAACAATCACAGTATGTAAGTAACGGATCACCAGTAGCACAGTGTGTAAGTAACGGATCACCAGTAGCACAGTGTGTAAGTAACGGATCACCAGTAGAACAGTGTGTAAGTAACGGATCACCAGTAGCAGTGTGTAAATAACGGATCATTCAACTAGCGTGTTGGGCTGCATATCGAAAGGTCATCGGTTCTCTACATGCATGTTGATGTGCTCCGCACTTTAAACTTTCATCGCATTATAAAAACGACACTCTATCCCGTTATTCGGTTTAGTATATATGAGCAAGACACCCTGCATTCAATGTATATCAGCAAGGTACCCTCCGTTCAGTGTATATCAGCAAGATACCCTACATTCAATGTATATCAGCAAGACACCCTACATTCAATGTATATCAGCAAGGTACCCTCCGTTCAGTGTATATCAGCAAGATACCCTACATTCAATGTATATCAGCAAGATACTCTCCGTTCAGTGTATATCAGCAAGACACCCTACATTCAATGTATATCAGCAAGGTACCCTCAGTTCAGTGTATATCAGCAAGGTACCCTACATTCAATGTATATCAGCAAGGTACCCTCCGTTCAGTTTATAAGCAAGACACTCTCCATTCAGTATATATCAGCAAGGTACCCTCCGTTCAATGTATATCAGCAAGGTACCCTCCATTCAGTTTATAAGCAAGACACTCTCCATTCAGTATATATCAGCAAGGTACCCTCCGTTCAATGTATATCAGCAAGGTACCCTCCATTCAGTTTATAAGCAAGACACTCTTCATTCAGTGTATATCAGCAAGGTACCCTCCGTTCAATGTATATCAGTAAGGTACCCTCCATTCAGTTTATAAGCAAGACACTCTTTATTCAGTGTATATCAGCAAGGTACCCTCCGTTCACTGTATATCACCAAAACATCCTCCGTTCATTGTAAATCATTAAAGGTGCCTCCCCATTCAGTGTAAATCTGCCAAGGTACTTTTATTTGGTTTATATTGGCCAAGATACCCTCTCATTTAGCGGATATCGCCCTACTACATACAATATATATATATATATCAGATAAGGCACCTCTTGTCCAATGTAAATATCTACCGAGACACGATTATTTGTAGATAATCTTTAGGTATTCTTTATAAGTTATGTTGCACTTCTTCAGAATAATAATTACTATTACTTATTTGAATATTCCACATGTTTATGACAAAAGGTATAGATTCTTTACTATTTTATTCCCAGTATTTTTCCGGGTATTTCATAAGCGCTTTGACCTGACGTATTTTTCGCTTCCATTATATATTCCTACCAGAAAAATCGTTGGAATGAATACTTATAAAGCTAACTGTCTCTATGTGTTTAATTCTTACCATGGGAGGCCCGAGGCTGGTTCTTCGATAAAATGGATCGATAATCTGCCACGTGGTTAAGATAGCGACGTCAATCATCATCAAAACCCCGACGACCATGAAAAGTTTGTAATCTTTGATTGCCTATTGAGAAAGAATCGTTACTAATTAATACAATTGCTGTGAAACGTTTTTAAAGAGAAAATGTATTAAGTCCCCATTAGAAGATTAGCTGTAGAAAAATCAATATATGTTGACTCATTATAGTTGTAAAAACGAAGATACTTTAGAGTGTGAAATATTAACATTGCATATAAATGGCACTTTTGTCTGAAATAAGCCAGGTTAGCTGAAATATTGAACAATATTGTCAGAATGAAATTGATATGACAAATTTAGGGCAATTTTATATTTTCAACGATTTTACCATTGAAAAATAACCAAGCCTAAGATGTTTACATGCCTTTCAAAGGTTGAACATGACAATTACACTTCCCATCTTTACAAATGACAAATTTACATTCATAACATTTACCACTTTTGACACAAGAAGAACTGGTAAGGTTTCGGTTAGATACTGATTTTTGTTTTTATTTCTTTATGACAATTATGATCTCTGAGCAACTACCAGGTACGTGCATTTTAAGTCATCCGAAAAGAGCTATTAATTTAGGAAATCAATCCGAACGTATTAACCCTCTATTTCACATTGTAACGTACAGGTAACAAATTTATGTTTAGTGCTTAATATAAATACAAATGCTTCAATGCTATAATTAATTGATCTTTCTTCCAGGTTACAGTCTAAACAAACCATGGAAATATTTCTGTTGGTTCCTCAGTTGAACAATGCTACTTCTGGGTAACGTACTCATTTATAACAAACCGAAATATATACCAAAAAACACATTTTGTGTGCAATATAGACCTATTTAAGTAAGAAATTAAAAAAAACAACATTTTTTCCAATCTTATTTTATAATGCGTGCAATAAAGGGTTAAGAAAATTATATAGTTGATGTTGTAACCCAGTACAGGTATCTAGTCCTATTGATAGGAAAAGCATTGAGTTTTTCCAAATAAATTATCATAGTTATCTTTTTTTTTGGTATCCAAAGTGCTTAGTATCTTGAAATAAAGCGTCTTAACTAAATTTGTTTGGTACCCAAAACGCTAAGCATCTCAAAATGTCATTACTAGCTTTGTTTGGTATCCAAAGCGTTGAGTATCTCGAAATAAAGCGTCTTAACTAAATTTGTTTGGTACCCAAAACGCTAAGCATCTTAAAATGTCATTACTAGCTTTGTTTGGTATCCAAAGCGTTGAGTATCTCGAAATAAAGCGTCTTAACTAAATTTGTTTGGTACCCAAAACGCTAATCATCTTAAAATGTCATTTCTAGCTTTGTTTGGTATCCAAAGCGTTGAGTATCTCCAAATAAAGCGTCTTAACTAAATTTGTTTGGCACCCAAAACGCTAAGCATATTAAATTGTCATTACTAGCTTTGTTTGGTATCCAAAGCGTTGAGTATCTTGAAATAAGGTATCTTAATCAGCTTTGTTTGGTGCCCCCAAACGATGAATATCTTGATGTAAAGTGTAATAACTAGCTTTGGTTGGTACTCGAAACCTTGGACATTGTGGAATAAAGTGCCATAACTAGTTTTGTTTGGAACCCGAAGCCTCGAGTATCTTGATATAAAATGTCTTAACTAGTTTAGTTTGGTACCCAAAATCTTGAACATTTTGAAATTTATTCGTTACAGAATTTACGCCATCGCTAAGTAAAAATCAAAGTAATTTATTTCGGGACAATGAAATGTACAGTTTGGAAACCGAATGTTGAATATATGTGATTGAAGGACAAGATAATCATCTTCTACTCGTACTCAGATTGAAATCAACAATCTTGAATCTTAGTTGTGATACTTTATTTTCAAGTTTATTTAAGTTACACCAATATTCATGCTTGTAACTACAGAGATGGTTATCTGGTTGGTTTCCATAATTTGGAAGAAAAAAGTGCTTAATATGTCTTTCATAGCTTTTAAAATTATGATCTCTTCCTTTCCTACACTTTTTTTCAGCTGCTTTGCAAAAAACAAATTTTCAACGAACTGTCACAGATCAGATGTTATCTAATAATGCTCGCGGAAGTCTGGATCGTTGAATTAAAACAAGTATATAGGTTGGCCGAAAGAAAAAATAAATTAAAGACAATTCCAACCCTAAACTTTATTTTTTTTCACTTGATGTCCTATAACTTAATCATAATATAACTATATATCCAGCAAAATGTTGGAAACGGAATAAATTAATATTAGCACTATTGATACGTTACTCGAATTTGTATAACTTACAAGATTCTCACTTTCATTGTTAACAATTTGATAACACTAGTAGAAGGAGTTCTCTAGTGGAACAAAAATTTATTTTTCTCTTTTAGGACTTCTTGAAATAAGTTTTGTATTGTCTACATGGCATGGAAACCAATTGAGTAGAAAAGCTTTTACTATCAAAAAGTCTTTTCATAGCAATTCGGCAATTGTTTTATTTTCCACCTAATATATAGCGGAAGGATACTTGAAGCGTCACACAGAGTAGAGACTGACTCACTTAGTGGTGATTTCAAATTGTATTAGAGTCGTTATGAACGTTATTGGGCATTACACGGACGGACTGTCATTTCTCAAGCTCAGAAAACATTCCAGGATATCAGAGACTCGATGTAGCAAACGTACGCTGTTCTCTTTTATAGCAATAACATAACAACGTATCTGAAAGATTTTATGACAAGACAATTTTTTTTTTCAAAAATCCAGAACACTTTACTTTTTTATTGTCGTGACAATAAAAGTGTACGCACTGGAAATTCTTCCCATGATACGCAGTTTTGTCATTTCAGGCGAATTTAATGTATTTTACACACGAACAATAATGTATTTTTTGAGGAAAAAAAAATACAAGTACAAAACTAGAGGAATTAGCTTCTATTTTAAGTACTGTTATAAAATATTGTAATTTAAATTTTAAGCCACTTTCTAGAGTATTAATAATACAGGTTATTTACTGAGAATCCAGTTTTTTCTTGTAAAAGTTTTTTTTTGTAGCATCCGTTTTTGTACATCCGTTTAATTGCATATATCTATTTCTAAACATAAGTTAGACGTATTCTCACAATGGGATGTTTTTAGCCTCTAATATTCGTCCAGTACAATTACGTATTTCTGAAAATTCTAAGAAAATGCCATAGTTTTATTTCGGTTATGTGTATAATTTTACTACATCTGTATCTATATATATATAATACTACTGTTTGTTGTATGTCCATGTAACTACTTCGCAGGGTGTGAATGGATCTTCACCAAATTTGGCATGAATGTTTTTGGGTCCATGGGGAGATACATGCAAAGTTACGGTTTCACATTTTATGTTTTGTAGTTTTTATGGGCGTTCTTGCGTTTTTTACAATTACATACAAGGGAAGCAACTTTTCATGTCCTAAGATAACCTTTCCTTAATCATGAATTTACATAACTTCCGTCCACGGGGGAAGTTGCAGCTAGTTTGTAATAAACTAAAACAAATCTTTCAACCTTATATTACTATACTGGAAGGTTTGATTTTTGACAGAATGTGAAGGCTAGTGTTGGGTATTCCATGTAAGAATTTAACATCAATCTTAGCAACACGAAACTGGAAAGATCCATTCCGTGAAGTTGTTGTTTTTAAAACGAATATTTCAAGTTGGACCAGTGAAAATTATAGCTACTTTATTTTAGAAGAATTTGAGTTAATACGCAGTCAGTGTTTAAGATCTTTGTAGCAAGTTTAATAGCGTAATAAAGGGCAATTTTTTAGCTGTAACGATAAGGTTTAATTTTGATAGTAAGATAAAGGAATCCTTTAATTCTAGCGAAACGCTTTAGTTCTCATAATAAACTAGAGGGTTACTATAAGATGTAGTTTTATAGTGCAGTAGAAGGATACTTTTAAGCACAGCGATAATCTTTAGCTATTACAGTATAACAGAGGGACAATGATCAAGTGTCGCTGTGAGTTTTATTTTTTATAATACATGATGAACGTATTGTTTTAAGTATATGGGGGTAATAAGCTTTATTTTGTATATTACAATAGAAGGATACTGATTGAGTATAACATTAATATTTAACTTTTACAATTGGTACACGTCTTAGCTGTAGCGACAAACATTACGAGTAGAACAAAGTGATACTTTTTAGGATATGATAAGTTTAGTCCTTATTGTACAACAAAGGGGAACTTTACGAGTAGCGATAAGCTTTAGTTTTAAGCCCCACAGGACAGAACAGATTTTTTACACTGTCAGTTGGGAGCTGTACAAGTATATTATTCCATTGTCAGTTGGGTGCTGTACGAGTAGATTATTCCATTGTCAGTTGGGTGATGTACGAGTAGATTATTCCATTGTCAGTTGGGAGCTGTACAAGTATATTATTCCACTGTCAGTTGGGAGCTGTACGAGTATATTATTCCATTGTCAGTTGGGAGCTGTACAAGTAGATTATTCCATTGTCAGTTGGGAGTTGTACAAGTAGATTATTCCGTTCTTAGTTGGGAGTTGTACAAGTAGATTATTCCATTCCTAGTTGGAAGCTGTACAAGTAGATTATTCCATTGTTAGTTGGAAGTTGTACAAGTAGATTATTTTTTGCTAAGAATTCTAAAGCTTAATCTTGGTAGACAATTTATTTCAGTTACGAAATAATCTGTATGGAATGATACGAGTAAAGCAAAGTAGAGATATTTCTTTTATTGTATTAACTACAACAAAACTCTTATTAATTCCTTCTCTCGCCTTATCAACTCTGATTTATCACCCGCGATTCGGAAGTCTGTTTTAAATGCGGAAAGAAGTATCGAAACCCGACCGACAACAGCAGGGATATAACAGAAGGATGTGTATTTGTAGAAAAGCTGATATTAATGCTTAATTGAATATCTAATCAACGTCACAAAACCAAAATAGAAACAATTAATAGATAAGACTGAAAATAAATCGACAATCATAAAAACATTTACAATAACTTGATGTATTCGCAAGCCAAATGTGTATGGTGTGAAACAATAACTTGATGTATTCGCTAGCCAAATGTGTATGGTGTGAAACAATAACTTGATGTATTCGCTAGCCAAATGTGTATGGTGTGAAAGAATAACTTGATGTATTCGCTAGCCAAATGTGTATGGTGTGAAACAATAACTTGATGTATTCGCTAGCCAAATGTGTATGGTGTGAAACAATAACTTGATGTATTCGCTAGCCAAATGTGTATGGTGTGAAAAAAAAGTCGTAATCGATTCTCCTTTACCGAATGTGATATCATGTGGCTAAGTGATATATCTACTTTTTTTTTATTTAAGCCGTATACCACGGAAACATGAACTAACTTTAAGATTCATGATAAAAACACTAAGGCCTGGATTTTGTTTCCAGATTCCTCTTAATTAGTCCATTACGGATTTCAAATCAGGGGCGTGTTAAAATCTATCTTTTGCCCTACCACACGTCGTTCTGCTCACGAGGTCTTTCGTACGATATGATTAGAACGCGTCAGCTGGGCTGGACACGATGTCAGACAAAGGTCTATTTACAATGCTATTTTATATTAGCATGCCTCGAATTGGAATCAGTAATGGACTAATTACGAGGAATGTGAAAAACCTATCTGCAGTAACAAAAATTAATTTTATTTATGTAATTTCACATTGATATATAACAGTATATTTAGGCACCATATCTCAATCGTTATTTTCATCAACAGATTATACCGGTTTAAAGACTTGACTTCAGATGAAACTCTAGATCTTTTCATTACTGGGCCTTTCTAAGTTATTGTTACTTATGAAAATTATACTAACTAACAGAAATGACGCCCTACTGCGGCTGTTTGTGCTAATAATTACTAATCGTAGTATTCATACCTCATTGAAAAATGAACATTTTCTTAAAAAAATATTTTTCTGGGAAGTACTGCACGGGAAAAGTGTTCGGATTGTGCTGATATAAACTGTAATGTTTTTGTATATTAAAAGTGGTGTCCTTTATTGAAAAAAGGAATAGTTGAACTCCATTTTTAATACTATATTTACAAATTACATCAATAAAGATATAATCAAACCCTCACGTACAGTCCTAGTGAAAGTTGGATTCTTGTTGTGAGGATAGTATTTTTATTTAAAATTGTGTTCTATTATAAAGAAATGGTTGTTGCACATACCACAGTTATTTTTCTAATTGTGGTGCCATTCAATAGATGGCGCCATATTATATTTATTATTTCGGTCACATACATAGATAGATACATGTATACCCGCTAAGTCCATTATAGTAAGATTATAAAAAATCCATGTCTTCTAAGAAAAAGTAAAACAGCTACGTGGTATATATGATTTGTCTTTGAAAATCTATAAAGATTTACACCTAGTTCAATATGTATTTATTACTGGGACCAGTTAAAGGCTGTTATTTGACAACTTGAAGCAGCTAACGTAATAAGAGAGAGAGATTTATAATAAAGTTAATAATTCTGATAAATTTTAACAGTTACGTGATGAAATGCTAAGTAAGAAATTTTTACTCAGATTTGAAGGACTGAACGAATAACGTGAATTATTTATTAAAGTAGTACTAACAGGAAGTATATTCAATATTTATCAAATAAACTCAAGATATATTGAGTTACTCCATTTTCAATGTCTAAGTGAGTTTAAATACATTCCAGAATGCGTATTTATACTACTGATGTAGATCTTATGACTATGCTAGCTTTTAAAATGTTCGATTGTAAACTAATATTTGTTCACATATTTTTATTTTAATCCGTATCTTCTTCAATCAGAGTAAATACAATTGTATATTAATACTTGAAATATTTATATTGTTCTTACTTAACAGCCTTTATTGGTATTTATTCACGTTACATATAATGGTACACGTCATGTAAATCAATTTTGACATTTTTTACTTTAAAAGGTTAAGGCTGTTTGATTGCGTAGCACCACTGGTTTCATATAGTGGATTAGGAATAATTCCTGACTAAAATGAATATACTTAGTAGAGTTGAGTAAAGTATAATACAGTAGAGTAAAGTAGCGTATAGAAGAGTAGAGTAGCGTATAGTACAGTAGAGTAGAGTGGTGTATGGTAGAGTATCGCATAGTATATATCAATCATAGTATAGTATATGCTATTCTATAAAGTAGCACATAGTATAGTGGAGTAGTGTAGCGTATTGTATAGTAGAGTACGGTAATTTATGATATAGTAGAGAACAACAGAGTATAGTACAATACAGTAGCGTAGGGTAGAGTAGAGTATAATAGAGAAACACATAGTAGAGTAGAGTACGTAATTTATGATATAGTAGAGAACAACAGAGTATAGTACAATACAGTAGCGTAGGGTAGAGTAGAGTATAATAGAGAAACACATAGTAGAGTAGAGTAAAGCCTAGTACAGTAGACTATAGTAGAGTAGAATAGTGTATAATAGAGTATAGTACAGTACAGTAGCGTATAGTAGAGCATAATTGAGTATAATATGGTTTACTCGAATTATCAGGTAATTTGGTGGTGGTATTCAACAGGAAATACGATCGGGAAATAATCCGAAACGTATGGAATATAGTTATGTTATTCCCCTCTTTTAACCTCGTGCTTACTGTGACTTGCCCAACACTTATTATGTACATATATCAGACATGTTCAGTTACTTACTTTGTAAAATGAGTTGTACTTTTTTATTGTTATTTACAGCTTAGAGTTAGATATAAAATTATTAAGCTGCGTAGTTCTAAAAAAAATGGTTGATGCATTATGATTCCCATCTGAGTACAAGCACGTTTTCGATTTTCTTTTTCATCACATGGTCATCGGTTAAAACATTACTCTGAGCTACATCCATAGTACGAGATGAGAATCGTAATGCATCAACCATTTTCTTAGAACTACACGCCTTAATAATTTTATATGTGGAACAGTTTTGATTATGCAATGAATAATATCATCCTTCCTATATCATGTAATAGTACGAATATTACTAAGCCTTTTCTGATCATGAAAGCATAACTGGTCATAATTTCACTCATTTAAAGTTACGTTTACGTAGAAGCTGTGATACGTCTCTGAGGAACATATGCAATTACGTAATATTATACCATAGTGGTTTCATATGCCTTTCAAACTTTCATAGATATCAAGTATTTTTAGAACTACGCAATATGCCAAATACAGATGTTAAAAGTAATAAAATAACTATATGGCTGACAGGATCATGTTATCATACGTTCAAATATCACTTACTTTTTTGTTCAGTTTAATGTCAGTAAAGATGGCGTGAACCCTCCAGGTTTTACTAAACATAGAGCCAAAGGCTAAGGTGAACCCTGACATCAGCACCCAAGCTCGTCCCTAAAATGAGAAAAAAAAATTGTGTCATTGTTCTACATATTACTTGTAACCCAAGAATAAAGTAACTCTTTAAAACTTTTGCTTGAGTATCTTCAATAAGTCACACAAACAAGTTATTCTTCCATGTTAAAATTAAGTTTAATGGATGCATAAAGTTTTCTTTATATCTTAAAAGTTTTATAATTCTTCTTCCTACACACTTCGTCACGCTGTTCGTCTTCACCATAAAATAACGTATTCTACAGTTGCAACAATAACTCTTTGCTTGGATTATCTACAAAAAGTATATTTATTTTCAAGTAGCTTTCAGTAAAACTGAAAAGTTCTATCTCAGTAACTTCTTTCCCCTACAGAAATAATAAAAACAAAAACCTTGTAGACTTTTGTATCTGCTTTCCCTTGAGTAAGCCAGATGTAGGCTTTTATAACGGACAAGAAAATTATATTGCTAAAGAGATACGGATAAAATCAAACAGCTCTAAACAAACAAGAATACACCGTTCTTTGAAAAACAAAAACTAGAGATCCTTCCTATTTTTATTTTTTACTTAGGTATAAAGAAAACCATAATCAGAAAATAAAAGTTGGCTTCCACCCTACATAGTTTGAACGATTGTAATTTCTTCCGAATATTAGGACCGTTTGATGTTTGACCAATGAAGTCACATGCGGTTCACTTCTGACGTTACATACTTTGTCGTTACTGGAGAGGATAGCTGCGTTATTTCACAACAATTTTTCCATTATTATTTTTCAAAGGTGAGAAGAAACACGTTTGCCAAGTTACTCATAAGGTTTGGTCTACCTTTATTCTATGATATTCTTTAACTGACGAAGTTTATATTGTCTATCGAACTATATCCTAAAGTGAATTGAAATGTTTGATTGGTGGAATGTACATAAAACAATTATAATTGGAAGTTATACTCGCAAGACAAGTAGGAGCTCAGTATAATTCACCAACAGCCAAATACTAGTCCAACTGTTATTCTAATAGACAGAAAAGATTGTGATTACGTTTCTTGCGAGTATTGTCTATTATTCAACTTCTATTATAAATATAACTAAGAATGACTTCTGATCAGAGCAAGCTATGTACTTAGAACGAAATTCAAAATCAATCTGGCCATCAGTATAGCTGATTCATTATATACTTTTTTACATTTTTACTTATGAAAATTGGAATTCATTATTTCTTCATTTGGATACCTTGACTGTTAACGATATTTCCGGTCATAATCCTAATAATATCTCATGAAGTCGGCCACCTTACGAGGTTTAGGTTAATACGAAATACATATTTTGAGCTAACAGTGCAAAAAAGCCTTAAAAATAGAAAGAATACTAATAAACAGCAAATCAAAACCTAAAACTACAAAGTAACTAGCATAACTAATGCTGTTAATGAAAGTAACAATAAATTGGTGTACACTTACTACTAGTTGAACAATATCTAAGATTAACCTTCCACACTTTGATCTAAGTAAAAGTAGAGAAACTACATGATTAGCAAATATCCTATAATGTTAAATTATATCTAGAAAGTAGAGTGGCCAAGTTCAATAATATTTCAATCAATAAATTCTTATGATTCTACAGTATCAAAATTAAAAGAACGAACGTAGCGGCATGCTCTACAAAAATTTCAAATTTGATGTTTCGGGCAAAATATTTCTCTAGTAATCTATTTTTTTCAACGTTCATATTTTATTTTGTTTTTTGTTTTTATAGCTGCAGCCTGGTATGCTATTCAATCAGCGTTCGGGAATGACAAATGCGTGAACAATTTCCTTATTAGATGTTGGAATGCTTGGACGCGTAATTATAGTTAACAAGGTACTACCCATTTAGAAATACCATGTGTTCATTTTGGAATGTTCAAAATATTTTTCATCCACTTTGCTAATTTATTCTTGGTTTATTCGTCCTGTCCATCTGTTTTTGTGTATGTGTAAGCTCGGGCTGTCCACCTGTTTTTGTGTATGTGTAGGTTCGGCCTGTCCACCTGTTTTTGTGTATGTGTAAGCTCGGCCTGTCCACCTGTTTTTGTGTATGTGTAGGTTCGGCCTGTCCACCTGTTTTTGTGTATGCGTAAGCTCGGCCTGTCCACCTGTTTTGTGTATGGGTAAGCTCGGCTTGTCCACCTGTTTTTGTGTATTTGTAGGTTCGGCCTGTCTATCTGTTTTTGTTTATGTGTAAGCTCGGCCTGTCCACCTGTTTTTGTGTATTTGTAAGCTCGATGCAATTACTATTAAAACTTTTGAGTAAAATACTTTTATTTTTATTATCGAACACTAAGAGTTATTTGTACCATGTGTGAACTGGAAAGTTCACCATATTCATACATATTTTCTAGTATGTTTTGGCTATGTTTGAAAGTAGTTAAGTCTAAAGTAATAATAGAGTGAAGGTAGAGAATACTAATTTAAGAATGTATTGCTTGTGTATATTTTTGTTGTTGTTAAGCACAAAGCTAGGCAATAGACTATCCGTGCTGTGTCCACCATGGGTATTGAAACCTGGTTTTTAGGGTTATAAGCCTTCAGACTTACCGTTGAGTAACTGGGGGAGGATTGCTTGTGATTCTTTTATTGTCATAAACACACTATATTCGTATATGATAATTGCATTGGATTCGTTCGTTTATCCACTGTTATGGAAAAATAGTAAATGAAGAAATATATTCCCTAAATATTCACAAAACAATCCTTATAAAAAATTTATATTGTTTGTTTAATCGTCTCAGTTTTTCGTTATCCTCAAAAACAAACTGAACCGTTACTTTCAAAATACACTGAAACGTTTCTTCAAAAACACACTGAAACGTTTCTTCAAAAACACACTGAACCGTTACTTCAAAAACACACTGAACCTTTACTTCAAAAACACACTGAACCGTTACTTCCAAAATATACTGAACCGCTATTTCAAAAATACACTGAAACGTTTCTTCAAAAACACACTGAACCTTTACTTCAAAAACACACTGAACCGTTACTTCAAAAACACATTGAACCGTTATTCCAAAAACAAACTGAACCGTTACTTCAAAAATACAGAACATCTCAGCTAAGCTAGTTTGCCTTTCCATATTTGTAAACTTTGAAAACAAGCTAAACCCAAAGAACAATAAACTTCTTGCCTGGACAGAGGAATTATATTCTGGTTAAATATGAATCGTTATGTACTATATTACACCATCTAAAACTTTTCCACAACATCAGTGGATATTCAATAATTATTTTCGTATTTAAAATTTTCTGCCTCTTTTTTTGTACTTTAATTATTAGGATCTAGATTTCAGTATAGCGCATGTTTTCCATTTCAAATCTCTATTCAACATTCTTTACAATAAAGAAAATATAAACACATGAAACATTTGTCCAATAATCTCTTAACTTTTAAGGTGTATTTTGATAGAACTTGATTGATGTCATTTAACAATGCTTAATATATTATTAAGAGACAATTTTAATACATTTAATGATAAAATTTGTTTGTCGAAACGTTGTACATTTGTAATAGTTTTTTTCACTACTCATTCAACATTTCTCCAAACTTTATTTTCTAAAAAGTGGGTTCGTCGTTATCAAATTTAACTTTAAGTTTATTCGTGAAATGATAATTCTAAACAACAACAACAAAAAGAGCTTACAGCACAAATATAAGGGAAATTCTTCTCGCTTGTGAGTCCACTGTCCATACCTAGCAGGATGACACTTGTATAAGTCAACATACAACCTACGATGATAAGGTTGTTCAGGTAAGGACTTGACATCTTTATGTTCCTAAACATAATGACAGTAATTATGCATAACCACACGGACTGGGGTGTATATCATCAGACACAAAAATGTTCATAGTAAAATATTTTACTGTTTCCGATGAAAAATAGTGTTCTATGTCTTAAGATTTTGTATGTTACATTATATTAAAGGCTGTTTTTTTATATGTTTGAGGATTTAAGATAGAAAACGGATTATTATCCACATTAATGTTCAAAATTCTTGCTCAGGCAAGATGATTAAAACGTAATCGATTTTTCGATCAATTACTGCAATGATGTCTTATGGAAATATTAAGTGTTTTGGAAATATTTAATCTTAGATTACTCATTTTTGTTTAATTAAGTCCTATTAGCTCCGGAAGTAATTTTCTCAACCATCCTAACGTTTTAGAATAATGTTACTAGAAGAAAACAATTAAAATGATTGAATAAAATGCTACTCGTGCTGTGTACCTACCTTTGGTTTCTGTAGCGGATATTCACTACCAGAAAGACGCTCGCCAACAAGATTCCTAGGATAGAGAAGGTAACCAAAAGGGAATAGACTGTAACGCTAATTCTCGTTCTTTCGATAACAATGAGAGTTCTGTCCATAGGTGGGTCTGTATCTCCTGATAATAACATGATGGGAATATTAGTTCTGAAGTTAATGGAGAATTACTTTACAGTAAATGTTCCTAAGTCTTTGTGAGAGATGATTTTCCTTTGATATGTCTTGGTAGTTAATGATCTTAACTTTATGATTCAAGGTCTTTGTTTTGTACCATCAAAAATAATTTGTTGTTTACTGAAAGACTCTTGGAAAATCCAGAGAAAAAGTATTGTTTACATGAATTCTAAAAGAATTCCAAATCACGTTAAAATACTTTTATCATCTTCAATCGTACTCCAGTACAAGTTAAAAAAAACAACAACAGCAAAATATAAAAACTTTTCACTAATACAAAACTAAAAGATAACGCGAGTCACCTGTATATAACATCGCATTCTGTTAACAAATAAGAAAAATGTTAGAAGTGTCGATAGCGTAACGTATTTAAGAAATGAAAAAAAAAATACAGTGTTGGCGTATCTTACATTAAAAGAAAAAAAAACAAGTTATCTATAGTTTCATTGCATCATAATATCAAAACAGATGATAGCAGGGTTAGTTAGTGTACTGTGTTTGTTTGTAATTAGGCACAAAGCTACACAATGGGCTATCTGTGCTCTGCCCACCACGGGTATCAAAACCCGGATTCTAGCGTTGTAAGTCCGCATACATACCGCTGTGTCACTGGAGGGCTAGTGTACTGTGTAAAAGAGATTTCTCTGACGTGAAATAAAAATGGAGAATCTCCTATAATGGTAATACATTCTATAAAATAAGTGGAAAAAATATATCATGAGTAATGATGGTGCAGCAAACTAAATAAACTAAAAAGGGCGCCAAAATAATGATATAATATTAGTGCTGCATTGCAATGTCCAGTTGTCATGTATTTTTATAATCTGTCTTTAAGTCATTTTCATTCATATAAATCTAAGAATTTATACGTGAAAGAAAATGAAGAGTATTTGATAATATGTCAACAACACTATATCTCTATATCCAGTGCCGACGGGGCCTTTCGTACAATACTAGTGCTCATAAGTGTCGGTTTTTATTTTAAGGAAGTAATATACTTATATTTAAAACAACAACAATTAATTAATTTAATTAATTTAAAACAACAACAATAAACTAATTGTTTATTGTAACAGATTATTAGTTGCATTCTCATCAAAGTCTTAGATAAATTTTATTTTCTATGATAGTGACAGTCATATCCTAGTAGAATACGTAGAATAATTAAGTATTTGTTGTAATGGTTTAAGTGCTTCTCTTTTTACCGTACAAAAAATATCTGTTTTAACTCAAAAAGAAATATAAAAGAGTCTTTCACAGGAAGATCCACTTTATCGAATAACACATAAAACTCACCTCTCCACTTGATAGTTGTTCCCTTACTTAAGTCCAGATTGTTAGCGATAGAATCATATTCGCCAATCTTCTTCTCAGTCCCTCCTTTTATATGTGTGGTGAATTGAAGACTTGTAAAACAAATATCTCAAACAACATTTATAGTTTCGTTGACAATTACCAAACTACTATAAAGAACAGTTATCATTTTGATATAACAGTTTCTACTTACAAACATCTTTTCAAATCCTTCTGGAGCCTGTTGACATTTAGCTACTTGAAAGCTATTTTTAATCATTGTTCAATAGGTTTAGGCTCATTCAACTAGTAATGATAATTTTTGATAAAAACATCTCACAAATGGAGTTATTATAATTAGTTAGAATGAACTAAAATGATATATATGTTTGGTCATAACCATACCTCGGTGGTTATGGAAAATGATTATTGTTTTAATTTGCATAATCATCTGGTATATTAGTCTAAACTATATCGTGTGACTGGATTCTTCTTTGAGCTAAGTTTCTGTGCCATAATATACTTCTCATCCGTTTAACTTAAATGTACGAAAAATCTGTTTATTAGTTTTTATATTGATAATTTTAGTGAATTAATGTGTAAGTAATAACTATTATGTGTTGAAAAGATAAGGAAAATAAAGTGTTTATTTGTAAAAAACTCAAGTCTTTTAATTTTTTTGTCTCTTTTGTTGTGTTTTATTTGTTCAAGGCTGTCAGAGTGACATTATAAGTAGATCCATTCTAGCGCTATTCACTTTATAACAATGCTTCTCTAACAATCGCTTGCTTTCCTAGATTTTAAAAAAAAGAGAGAAATAGAACCTGAAATAGAACATTTGATAAAATCCTCGGATGTTCAGAAATATTTTGTTTCCTCCTTTTCTTTATCTAAATTAGAGCAACAAAACGTAACCTTAACTCTAGTGACAACGTTACTTTGTTACGACGGAACCAATTCAGTAGTCCTACAGTGGTTAATTTAGTCCTTATGAATGCTTTACCACCAGATTATATGCTAATACAATATTTAATTAGCATGAGAAATATGTGTTTAGCCTGCTACTTCTTCAGCCGATACAAAGCTCCCCTTTCTTTTTGGACCAGTTAATTTATCTAATTTTTTGTGTAAAATGTTTTGTATGTGTTGATTGTGATGTAACAAGTAATGTTTTTCATTCTGTTTCATCTATACATTAAAAAGTGAATGATCATATCAATAAGGAACTACTGTGAGAAAAACAAATATAATATGAATATATTCTCGTATACACATAGCACGTATCAAGCAAACTTGTTTCAAAGAATTTCAAGCACTGCAATATATGCATGATAACTACGTATTCATAGTATCTTGCTGGGTTTTTTTTAACACTAATCATGGTTCGAGTTCCTTCGAATTGTTTAGGCCTTCTTTTCATCAGATAAGAGTAAGGCCTCAACCAGAAATTCGAAACGACATCAGTGTCAGAAAAGCCAGTGTGTTGGTGTTTATAATTAATATTCCTGTAAGGCAGGATTATAAACCATAAACAAGGTTTATTAGTTTTTTATATTCACCAATAATTTCCTGTGAGACACTACGGACATTCGTTAATGTTTGAATAAATGCTTATGAGAAAACGTAAATGTCAAATATATTTCCTAGTTAGTAATTATCAAATATTATATACGTGAGTTATAAGGCCTACGTACGTTAGAAAACAACATTCAAATTCAATTTTTTAAATGAACTTGCTTTTAAAAATTCTGGAATTTTCAGGAAAAGCTACGCAAAGAGCTATCTTCACATAGCTGTCCAGAATTATGATAAACTAGGAAGAAGGTGGCTAGTCAACAGCATTCATCGCTAACTCTTTTACTGCTCTTATCTTCCCGAAAAGTGGGAGCTGACTGTCACTTTCACAGTACACTCTTGGCCCTAAAGTGCAGAGGACGTTTTGCGGGAACGGGCTGCGAACCAAGAATCCTTGAATTCACAGTACGGTACAATAAACACTGGTAATACTGTTATTGTATTGAAGTTTAGGCTTGTTGTGACTTTTAGAAGTGTATGTACCCCATTGATTTTCTCACACGCAGGGGACAGTTAGCAGAAAGAACGAAATGTATACATCAATTGACTTTAATCAAACACACTACTCTCGTGAGCATGAGTGTATGTTAGGGTGATGGCTGTTGTAGTCAATATATGTTTAATATGTCTCTCAAAACACACAGTTGTATTGAAAAACTTCGCCAAGATACCAGTTTTCGTTCATATAACATTCTATATAGAGTTAAGCTGAATGAGAAAAGTCGTTATCTAAAACTGTATCTATCATCTACAAAACCTAAAAACATTTGCATCTTTAATGAATACAATTCCTGATTCAGTATACAAAATATAAGTGTTCACAGGATTTTGCTGTATCAGCTTTACCAAGAGATTGACTACATCAAAGTCGCTAATATAAAACAAAAATTACTGAGTTGTAATGTTACCTAGTTATTTTCATGGTAAAGTTTGTGAATAAAAATCGTTTATATGATCATTAGTCTATTTATTAACAATGCCTACTGTTCAATATGACCGTCGGAAAATAAAAAGTTTTTAATTTCGTTCTGAAATAAATACACTATCCAAAATACCACCGGAACCATATGCAATGTTTGTCTTCTTACTGTAAACAAATTATTTATACGAATGTGTAAAAAACGTACAAACATCAAAGCTGGATATACTTTAAATACCGATTAAAGCAATACAGTCTCAAGCCTCAAAGTCCTAATGAGAATTGTTGATAGTTTTATAACTAGAGAACAAGAAACTGAAGCTCATCTCGCTCAGAATAACAATGAAAACATCGACAAAGATTTGGAGAATTCGCTAATATGAATCGTACTGGAACTTGTTTAATTTGTAGATAAAGTTTAATGTAATATCAAAACAATTAGTAAACTATTGAGATAACATATAAACACGAACGGGAAATCGCAAGTTGGTATACTTAAATAATTTTATATGAAACTTCGTAAACTGCCTAAAGATAGTAACAGTTTTTTAACTTTTACATATATTTGATATGATATCGATGTAGCTAAAATAGCCATTACTATATGCCAAAAATAAACAATATAAATCTTCAGAAGACAAACCTGTGACTGACTTATTCTGAGGAAAAAAAAATAGTGATTTAAAGAAGTGAGTGAATATTATATGACATCATTATATTTAGAGTCACTTCAAATTATTGTACAATATAAGGTTTGGAAAAAAGTTACAAATATTTTTTAAATATCCATGCAAGCAACAGAAACGATGTGAAAAATCGGCGAATTACCTTGAAATTGTTTCAGAAGAATGAGCCCTCTTCGTTCATTTCGAATGAAACTAACTGGACCCTGAAACGCCAAAAATCCCAAAACAGTTGTACAACCTTTTTAGGTTAATGTATATACATGTATATATATATATATATATATATGAAACTAACTGTACCCTGAAACGCCAAAAATCCCAAAACAGTTGTACAATCTTTTTAGGTTACTGTATATATATATAATTTCATCAGTCTTAACTATTTGTATGCAGCCAATTAACCATAAGTTGTGCTAATTATTTATGCAGATATTGCGTACGTGCTGAGAAGTACAATTTTCTTGAACTAATTACAGTGACGGAATACATCTCGATTGTAAATATATACAACTTTATATTGTAGGCAGTATATATATATATATTTAATAAAAATCATTGAAGACGGAATTCAAGCAATTCCTTATCAATCTTCTTATATCATACAAGGAACCTAAATTTGAAGCATTTTTAAGATAAATCAATATTGATCTTACTTGACATCGAAAAACTCAAATTAATGTTTGTCTTAGAGGTTTCTAGCGATAAATAATGTAGTAATATTAAGCTGATGCTTTTACGAAATTCATTATGAACTTTTTAAACAAACATGTTTTTGTTTTCAGAAATAAGATTTTAGGCCTTATTCAGCGCCGTGCTTAATCAACAGTCTAATTTACAGTGACAGCACGTTTTTTTTTCAGTAGCTCAAACTGCCAGAATCTGTAAAACTCAACTGCCATTTTGTCTCAATAAAAGTATATTTAAAGAGAGTAAAATGCAAAAAACTTTGATTTCTCATTTTTGTTAACTTGTTTTATTTTCTTACTCTTTATTTCGTGTTTCATTAAATGATTCTAAGATTACCTTTTATGAAGTTAATGCATAATTGTTGATTCAAAGCACTTCAAATTGAGGAAGACAGCACGAACTTTTTAAGTGCGGCAAATTAAAAGTGGCATAGATAGTTCTTCTAAACAACTCACAGCAACAACTATGTTTCTGATCATTTCAGAGGCTGCCAATGACTGTACTACGTGCCTACCAACCACAATGAAGTAGCAATCACAAGTGTTTGCCGCGTGACTGACAACCACAGTGAAACAAAGCTCGTAATTATGGCTTACGCGTCTAACAAACTCAATAAAAAACAACAACGGTGTCCACCAACAATGAACGTGTATAAGACTTGTAATGATTCCACTAAAGCGTGCGTTTCTTTCAATTTCGTTTTTAAACTTTGAATGTGGAACACGCGTGTAATATTTCCTACAGCACACGATGTGCTGCATCATAAAACTCTAACATTAAACTTTGTGTCATAAACTCATGCTAAACTACCTCGGAAGTATTTAACAAAACCTTACCCATATAACATAAACACTATAAAGGGTGTACAAGATATTATACTCTTTAATTATAAAAAAAGAAGGAAAACATTGTTATTGCTTAAATAAACATATTTTCGTTCCATATTATGTAAAATAGTTTTGCACTGTATTTATTATAATAAAATCAACACTACAAGCCTTTATATATATATATATATATATTTATAAACACGAGCATGTAAAAATATATTATACTTCTTAAGATATTAAATGAATGTATAGTTATGACAGAATAGTAGCAGGTAACATTCCAAACACGACAAAGTGAAAATAAATGAAAAATATGCCACTTAACAACATTTAATAGCTTAGTATATTATCTAAGATTTCTACCAATAATCTCGAATATATATATGCGACTGTACACAATTGATGGACCGAAGATAACGTTAAAGTGAGGGTACCCAACTGATGAAACAATACATTGAAATCTTTATAAGTGAAAGCGTAATAAAAATAGATTTATCTTGCTATACTAACAGCCAGATTGTGTTTTAGTTTCGCCATAACCACATAGCTTACCCTGATCGGAACTTAATATTGATTATATGTATCTACTGTCCTAAAACTTATGCCCTTTTAAAAAGTATAGTATTCAAAGGGAAGAATTGTAAGTAAAAGATCTGTAACTCCAACACATCTGATATTGAAGAGTTACCAAAAGTAACTACATGAGCTTCAAAAACAGCCATTCAGTTAGTTTTAATTTTGTTTTTTCATCTTTATGAAAATCTCCAATTAATAAGGGATAAATGCAAAACTGAATATTTCATTTCACGTATATAGGACGAAATTATAAAATTATGCACTAAACTCGTAAAGACAGCAATTGTATCATGGAGTTTGTAGACTCTCTCTATATATAGATACTCAGTAGGCATAATACAAATATACACACTCAAAAAAAGATCAACAGTGACAGAGAGGTTTACTTTAAAAGATGATTGCCGATCACTTTCAATTGTTTCTTTACCCAACAAACACAAAAACAAGGCAAGACATCATCGCTAAGATACCAAAGTAGGCAGAGAGCGACCCACCCACCAAATTGTTCATATTTATTCTTCTTGTTTCAGTCGAGATAACTCTACACCTATTTTGTTACTAATGTCAGTTAAACCTAAATCAACTCTATGTGTTTCTGGGCAGTGCATGACGTCATCGATTAGTCGTAATAACTAGTAATAATTTAAAAAAAATCACAATTCTATTGTAAACGATGTTATCATTACCCCTTGAAGTTAGATTTTTTACAGAAATTTGGTGTTCTTTTAAAAAAAGCTTAAGCACAGGGTAAAACCGGAGTTACTAGCCAATAATAAATAAGCATTAGATGACTATAACATGTAGAATACTCAGTGCTTTGTACACTATACAATCGATGTCTTTGGGGAGCGATCCTATATTATGTATGATGTGAAGGAATGATAAAAAATAAGTACACATAATATTAAATTTCATTACATACATTCATAGAATATACTAACTTTCAATTAGGGGAAAAACATCACAAAACAAGTAATAAAAACATTTTGTAAATGTAAAATTATGTAGAGATGGTAGTGCCAAAAAATAATGCAAACAATGATATACGGATGATACAGCTATACATAGATCATCCCTACATGGTTTTCAATACTGAAATTTAGTGTTACACTGTAAAATGCATACTTGAACTTAATATTACTGCAGTTAGAAGTTATATATTCCTGACTGTTGGTATGCATTTTTTTTACCATAATATAAATGTGATGTTAGGGTAGGCATCAATGTAGTGTAACTAAGAGCCTGGGACTCACGTACATGAAAAACCAAGTTGAGTCAAAACATGTCTTGATTATTACACACTCTCGCTACTTACCTCGTAACCATTTTGAACTCGTGCATTTTACAGTGTAACATTAAATTTTAATATTGAAAGTCGTGTAGAGGATGATCTATGTATAGCTGTATCATCCGCATATTCTTGTTTGCATTATTTTTGGCACTGCCATCCCTATATCATTTTACATTTACAAAATGTTTTTTATTGCCTGTTGTTCTTAGAAGCGTGCTTGAACAGTCCACTTATAAACTACTTTCTTTTGTTTCTGTTGAAAAAAATTATTTATATTAAATTGCATAAGCCTATCTCTATCTAACTCTCTGTATATCTGTCTCTTTCTTTCTTTTCTATACGTCTGTCTGTCTCTCTCTATCTATCTATCTGTATATCTGTCTTTTTGTATATCTGTCGTTTTCATTACCGTGACTCCAAGGAACGATGTCTTGTTTAAAGCTTCACGAAACAAATGAACCCACATGGGATCTTTATATTCGAACATTTCTAAACTTTTGCCACTTTTCTCCGACATCAGTTTCTGTCGCACCTTCTGCATAGCCAGCGCTATAGCCCAGATGCCGTCATAAGCATAGCCGTGGAATCGACTATAGTTCTTCCTTCTGCCTTTGTTGTACTGGGCCTCGTACTCTGAAGGAACCTTGTTTTGAGAATAACCAAACAATTAAACACATTTAAAATGTGTGAACACTAATATTACTAGAAAAGTGTACACTTTAATATTAAATATATGAATTATCACAGTATTCTGGTATTAACTGTGATGGCAGTGTTTCTACTACATCTATTTCAGGACTTAGTAAAGTGATGTAATAAAGCCGTAAAGAACTAATATAACTACAGGTAAGACTAAATAATTAAAAGAAGAACCCTGTTATGAAAATATTAAAACTTGCTTATTGCCAGATATATCTAGATCAGGAGTTCATTTCTTGTAGTTGTTTTACCTAATGATCCCAAGTTAACGTAGTGAAACGTTGTAACCATAGCTATTATACTCTGTATATCCGACAATAAACAACTTTTCAGTTATAGATAAGACTGTTTTAACTTATTTTAGTGTTATTTTAACTGAGTGGTTTTAAACACACAGTTTTTTCACAAAGCTGTCTATTTACTCTTCTCAAAATATACTTTCTAATTACATGATTAACCTTGGCAAATTTCGTTGGTCTAAAAAAATCTAAAATATACAAAAATAAATAAATAAAAAATAAAACCAAGTGGCATTTAGACCTATTTCTTTTAACTGATCAGGTATTCTTACTGTCTGAGCCACGGAGTAGTGAAAGCCACAAAAAAAATGGCCTCCTCACTCCAATTTCCTTCAGGAAAAAACAAAACAGAAACAATGTACTTATGCAACAATATGACAATACTATTTCAGTTAAGACTGCTATTTATGAAACTTAATAAAAAAATTGACAACGAGCAAAGATATCTTGGCAAAACCCAAAGAATAAAAACTGAGCATACATTTATTAATTGTGATTGATCTTACAACTATTGTAAGTCCTGCAGTTTTATTAGTTATATATATATCGATTATCGTTGTTGTAAGTTCGAAATCTGTTTGCCCTGAGGAGTAATGCTATAAGAAATTAATGTTTTACACTAATAAACCTATATAAAAAATATTAGAGAATATACTCAGAAACATGAGTTACAATAATATTTTATGTTATGGTCTTACCCTAACTAAAGCTGATATATATATATTTGAGACGCCTTTAACGTAATAACTGCCCTGAACAAAATATTTTAATCATAGCAATATTTTAAATTTTCATATTAATTGGTAATAAAAGCCAATTTTAAAACAGATTTTGTATGTTCTGTTCTGGAACAAAATTATGGTAGTCATAAGACCCTCTTTTATTTCTTGGCCTGAGAGACTCATATTGTCATTAGTAGTTAATGGTAAAATGTTTATAGACATGAAGCAACAAATATTTTGTCAGTATTAAGTGACAAAACCTAAGTACCCACATCGTACTCTAGTAAAAATACCAAACATACTCGATACAGTAATATTATCCAACATATTTTGTAACAGAATGGTAGTCATCATGCAGTACTTACCAAGCCTGATACAGTAATATTACCATCAGTACTTAGTGGCAGAACATCAGTAGCTATATAGCCTTCTAGCGCTTCCTGAAGCTCAAACTTGTCACATGTGATATTGTTACCAGTATTTCTCCACCAATAATCGTCATACATGCCAACGATAATCCATTGGTACTTCCTTCCGTAAAGGCCCACACGATAAGCCTAAATGATCGATCATTGTAACATTATGTATTTACAAATGAATGTTGTACTTACCCACC